CATATGTCTCCACTCTCAGTGAATAATTAATTTGACAATCACAGTGAGTGCAGGGTCCTTACATGAATTTGAAACTGAGCTTGGAGGAGATATTAAGTCAATATTTATATGATACCTCTTATCTCGACATTATATTGTCACTTTTCTGGGTTATATCAACCACGGACATTATAATTCTACTTTAGTCCAGAACGCCGTGTTGGCTAATACCTCTGATATCAGCTGATCCTAGTGCAAACAGATCTTATGATGATAAACAGTGAAGTATGAGACATCTAGCTGAACGTTAGTTTTTCAGTGTTAGATACTAAAATGTTTCTGTGTTTAGTCTTGCATCCACAAAGACACACAAAGACATCGCAGACACAAAGAGTAGTATAGAAACAGGAAAGTTCACGAGGAAATGTGACAGCTTTAAAGAATGAAGTCATGTTTCAGTCGTACCAAGTCCTCCACCGGTGGGTGGCATCACTTCCATCTCACAGTTTGTGCCTTCAAAGCCTTCTGCACACAGACAGGTGTACGTGTTGTTGCCTGAGTCCTGACATGTGCCTTCGTTCAAACAGGGGTAATTGAGGCAGGGACTTGCTGCAAGAAGACAAAAATAGGTGTTGTTGTTGACAGTTTAATTTAGTTCATTTCTCAGTTAATTTGTAAGATATTTTATTCACAACAGGAAACACATAATCACGGAATTAAACTGAGAATCTATAAAGTTTTAGGAAAAAACGAGGTAATTGTGAAAAAACATCAGTTTTTTAACAGCTGTCCATAAACAGCTGTGAACTGGGACCAGTTAGTGGAGTGAATGTTGTCCCATTCCTGTTTACTGTGGGATTAGAGATGCTCCATGGTCCTGGATTTTCTTTGTTGTATTTTTGCTTTTATGTTATCAGCCTGGACTGCACACAGACCAGTTCAGCACCCAGACTCTCCACACAGCCCTGCTGTATGATTGTATGATTCAAAATACAGTGCTCAAACACTTGCATGAACACGTACCTTTGTAGCAGTCACGTTTGAAGTTGTAGATGGTGCACACGTCAGCGTCCTGGCAGGTCTTCGGCTCACACACAGCACCGGTACTGCTACACTCACAAGACTGAGAGCAGTCCTCGGTCACAAACTTCTCTTTGAGCTGCAGGATGGAGAGATATGAGCGCACATCGTCACGTGGTCACATAGATACACAGTCACTCGTGTAACTGAAGGCCACTTACAGGGTAGTATCTGTTTAGGAAGGTGCAGCCACACTGTGCATATGGCACACAAGTCCCCTCACTCATAACAAAGCCGGCGGCACACTGGCAGCCTTCGACACACGAAGTGACTTCACACTCCGAGGGTGCTGCCAGGTTGGCGCAGGAGGCGGGGCAAGATGACATGCAGGGGGAGTAAGTGCTGTTGGCGGTGCAAGAGAGGACTGGGAAAGAGAAACGTGATGTTATTTACAGCAAACCGTTCGACAGAATGTAATTCTTTGTTTTGCAAATGTGTCTTAGTTCAATGCCTCACGTTTACAGGAGATTTGATAATGTGCAAGAGTATCTATATAAGAAACTATAAAGAAGAAATAAGAAACTGTAAACTATATAAGATGAATACAAACTGCATTACCACATATCTGTCTCAGTGAGGACAGCACATTACAATCTGCGTTTTCTGACAGTTTTGGAATGCAGTTTGTTTTTTTTTACTTCAAATTATGAATACAAACAAAAACACACAACAGGTGGAGTGAGGAGATGGACTCTGAACTGTTTGTCTTTCCACATGATGTGAATGAAGGGCAGCATTTCTTACCGCAGTCCAGCTGCTGCCTCCACAATCCTAATGTAACTCCAGCCTGTTGACAAGCTGCTGCATATGCTTCATAACTGGCACAGCGCATAGCTTCACTGCCTCCCTCAGCACACAGGTCAAACAGACAGTCACTGAAAGGACAAACATGAGCACAAGCAAAAAGCTCACACATGCACGTTGGTTCATACAGCTGCTGTCATGTGTTATATTGAATATGTCTTGATGCACGCTCAATCATCCAGGTACGTAAATCCCAAAAGGCTGATTCTGTTCATCTAGACGTTGCGTTTTTCAGATGAATTATATCGATTATGCTCAAGTTAACATTGTACTGAAATGTGTCCAGAAGACAGCTTCATACATATCCCCACTTAAGTGCAGACTACTTACTCCTGGTAGATTTGGGGTGACACGGTGGCGTGGCAGGCAGCAAATGGCCCACTGGAATCAGACAGCGCCCCACACTTCGTCGGGCTGTTGTAGTCGCTGAGCTGTGACTGAGAGCAGTCTGACACCTCGAACCCTGAGTCTGGATCAGTCTCTGCTTCTTGTCTGGAGACAGAGAAACTGTTGTGTAACAGCCGTGTGTAACATGAAGTTTAGTTTCCACAAAAACTGTAACATGAAACGAGCCTATTCCGTTTGAAGATTTTCTTTTATCAAGCACTTAACAGGCAGACAGACTTGGGCCAAGCTCTGCTAATTATTGTCGGGCAGCAATAATTATCTTTATTTTATAACATAAGGCAGTTTTCTTTAACAACAATATTCTCTGTTAAATAGTGACAGAAATCTGTAGAAGCAGTGAGCCTGGTTGTAATCGTACCTCAGTGCACGGATAGGACGGTCCAAGATCCTAAGTCTGTTGGCAGGTCGATCATTGACCTTCCAACTATCTCCAAATTCTTTAAGATCCCTGACTAATGTCCCATCTGGCTTCATGTATTCATTTCTGGTGATGCCATCATAGTTCCCACACAGTCCTCTAACAGAATTCTTATAGGTACCAGGAAGTATGATTTCTGATACACAAACAGAGAGACATAAGAGGAACGTGAACAGATTTGTACAAAAGCCTAAGACGTTCTCAGACAGAACTGTCTTCTTCTTTTACCTCCTCGACTGTTGCCATCAAAGCGACAGTGAGTCCAAAGTCAGTGGTGAGCTGGATCTGCCTGGAGTTCCTTGTGATGGTCAAACCATCAACTGGTGTAGAGGAGGTGTTACATACTCCCGTTGACCTACAGGAGATCAGGTAGGATTGCGTTACATCATTTTTACCATTAGAAATGCATGAAAACCTGCTCTTTTTAACAAAGTGTCAGCTGACCAGGACAGTCTTCTTCTGCAGGAATTTAACATTGACACCGTAAACATGATGTCCATCCCTCCAGAACGACACCCTCTGTTCATTCCACGTCTAACGTTCTTTTCCTCTCACCACCAGGGCGTCAGGAGCTCGACAGGTTGTGACCCAGAGCAAGTTCATAGGTGTCGACACCTTGGAAGTGATGCTTGAAGCCATCGAATGTTAGGTAGTGAGGATCCCCACAGATGCTGCACTGATTGAACTCTAACGATGGTGGGAAATGGGAGGATTCATGGTCAAAAACCACAGTCATTTTTGTTACTTTGCTTGTTTATTAAGGTTTGAAGTCTCTCAAACTCACCGGTGGGTCTGCAGTAGCGGTTTCCATTCTTGTCCAGGTCACACAGTGAATTCGAATTACAGCTGTGGTCCTCACATCTGACTTCACCACCAGGGTTACAGGTACACGACTCAGTGCATTTATCTGTTAGCCACAAATCTCCTACCTGTGGGCGCACACACAGACATGCATGGGACTGGTTATACCTGGACTTAGAATAAAGGGTTTTCAATATGCTAATATTAAATCCTCATAGCCTCTGTGTACTTTTGAGCTCAGGATTTTCTATTATGGAACATCCCACTGAGTCCATCATCTAGCAACAGTACGGGCAGTACTGTACTCACATCATGTACTCCCTGTTTGAGTCCAGACAGCCACACTGGTCCAGAGTAACACACTTGCCGTCACTGAGGACGTAACCAGCATTGCACTGGCAGCCCTCGAGACAAGTAGTTGGAGGCAGATGGCAGAAGACAGGGAAGAGGTCAGAGCACGTGGGAGGGCAGGGGGCTGTGCAGTCTGAGTAGTGGCTGTTAGGAAGACAGGGCAGGGCTGCAGAGAGGGACGAGAATGAGGTAAGACAAACAATAATTCAAATCTTTATGTGATCTTTGTTACTGTAACTCACGGCAAAAGCTGCTGTTTCTCCAGCTGATGGTGACACCGGCACTCTGACAGGCCTGAGCATATGCCTCCACGTTGTCACAGAGCGTAGTCTGCATGCCGTCATACTCGCACATGTCATAGACGCAGTTAGCCAGGAAAGCCTCAGGGGGCACTAGAGCGTGGCACGGCTTGAAGTTATTGGAGAGAATGACCCCACCACACTGAGCCTCATACAGCATCTCTTCTTCTTTGCTACACTTTGGGTGGATGTCTGGACGGGTGTCTGGCTGACAACTGAACAGAAGAACATTTGGATCAGGGTGTAATTTCGCCAACATGGACAGCATACATTTGATTCATTAGAGTAACCACTATCTGGAACCAGGGGTGTTTTGCGTGTTTGGTGAATCTGGAGACCACTACTATCTTTAAGTCTGACGTCCAAACTCCGCTGCAGGTCCCAAAGTCAAACGATCACTGCAGCATCACTGAGAGTTAAAAACTGTCTAAATTCTTTCATCTTTAATAAAATGATCAGCGTTGCTGCTTTACCAGGTGGAACAATTAAGTTTAATGTCCAGGAATCCATGGAAACCGAATTTATGAAATGTAATGGAGTTAGAAGTTAGCAAGCAGTTAGCTCGCTAGTTTCCATCTATATGTAATATAGCATGTTTGAATGAGGGATTTCCAAAATGTACAGCTCTGCTATCATTTCCAGCATAAATGAAGACAGAAAACTAAACAGCAGTGGCGTTTGTAGGCTAGCTGGTATATAATCATGTGCTACATGTTTATATATCGCTTTTTCCACTCGATAAAAGTTAACATGAGGGTTCCAGATGGTTAGGGAAAATGCAATCGCATGGCAGGATGCTGTAACGGACAAAACTTCAGTCAGGAGAACAACTGAGATAATCCATCCACAATACGAGGTTAGTCATTAATGTACTGCTGCATGGGCTGGGCTGTAGTTACATGTAAGGTTTTAAAAACTGAGCTTTAAAATGAACAGTGGTAAAAAACAGAAAAGAAAAACAAGAGAAGCCGACTGTTTTTAGGGGCTTGTTCAGATTAAATAGAACAGATACAAAGCATTAAAACATGTTAAAAACACAACAGCCTTATTAAACGCAGAGTAGTTTGGACCTGGAAGCAGGATTCAACATGTCATCACTTAAAGACCGGATAGAGTTACAACTAATATCCGCATAACACACTAAAAGTTGTTCACTGGTTGTTACCCACTGACCCAGGATCACTGTCTCCATTTGATTTCCAGCTGTTTCCCAGTTCAATGTCATCCTTGGCTGGTTTCTTGTTGGGCATTAGGTTGTCATCAGAGGGGTTCTGGTTGTAGTTTCCACACATGCCACACACCTGGAGAAGAGGCCAGTGGAACAAGGTTATTGCAATGTTTCTGTAATATACAGCAGAGCAGCTACTACAAGCAGCCATGACTAGCATACACAATTTGTAATTTTTAATTTCCTCATGTGACTTGACATTGAAAGAGTTGTGATGCAGACACTAGAAAACATGGTCTTAATTTCTGATACCTTATCAAAATATTCTCCTGGAACAGTGATCTCAACGTGATGGACTCCGTCAAATTTCACCTGTAGACCAAAGTTTGTGTCCAGCAGACTATAGGCTCCACTGGTTATCACTTTAGCTCCAGCCAAGTCAACGGAAACTGGGGTTTTCACCCGCTGTCCGTTCACCTGAGCACAGAAAAGTGAAATCATGTCAGCTGCTGATTGTTTCAGTATGGCGTAGTTCCTCTATATTTGAATGTCTGTAAATCATAAACTATGTCACATACCAGAACTCTGCGGCCCTTTTGCAGTTCAATAACAGTGCCAGGGTACAGGGTGACTTTCACAGAGCGAACATATGATGCCTCTGGTTGACCACGTTCCTCATTCTTAGCCACTATGTTGAAAGGAGTGACTTGGGTGGCGTTGCACACCTTTAAAATAGTGTATATTTTGTTTTCAAAGACAAACAGCGCCACAGGAATATCTGTTGTGTACAAAGTAAGTTAAACTCCTCCCATACCTCCACCAGAGTATATGTGCAAGTTCCCATGAACGTATGCATCACACCATCAAAAGTGTAGTAGTGCGGATCTCCAGCTACATGACACACTCCTTTACCTGAGGTCGGATATGAGACTCGGTAAAAGGGCAAAAACATACACTGACACAGCTTTAGGTGACGTGAACATGTAATTATCCAGCCCTTCGTTCAGTTTACCTGTAGAATGACAGCCTAGTACTCCTTCCACCACTTTGCACTCCTGTGCAGGGCTGCACTGCCAAGACTCACAGCTGATGTTGTTGTTTCCAGCACACTTGCATTGCTCTGAGCAGTCAGCCTTTGTGAACCAAGTGTCTCCAACCTAAACATATACCAAAAAAGTTTAATGCACCCTTACATAAAACACAATTTCTTGCAAAAGGAAAATCTCCCACTGCACACCCACCGGCCTGTATTTCCCATCACCATCAGTGCATCCACACTGGCTGATTGGGACACATTTGTCTCCGCTGAGGATGAGGCCAGTGTCACAGATGCAGCCCTCCACACAGGGAAGATCGCAAGAGCCGCCGTGTCCTGCAGGGTTCTGACAGCTCGGCTGAGGACATGCAGGGCCACATGAGGTGTAATGACTGCCTGGGGGCACTTCAGAGCTGGAGGGAGTCAAGCAATTTTTAGGGTTGTTTGTAAAAATGCACAACAGTTGTTACATATCTATAAACAAAAAGAAGGTTGTATTTGTCTACAGGAAACATGTTACAGCAAAACTCATAAAGTTTGTGTACATCATTTCTTTTTGAACCATTGTTGGCCCCTAACTCAGAAGAGGGACAGTTTTGGTGCTCGCAGTGGAATTATCTAAACGTTGTGAGAGATGTAACCTAGTGAAAGTGAAACAAATGAGAGTATATAGTTTAAACTGCACTATTTTCACCGGGATATTTTTCTGAAAAAACAAACAAATATTGGTAAATTTTCTTGAAATCTGGGAGGGTCTGGAATGTCCACTATATGTTTCTGTGGACCAATAAACCTTTGTGTTTCCCATAAAGCGGCATATAAGCATTATTCCTTAGCACCTAAAAATCAAGCGTATGTAACCTCTGTTAGACAGCAGACACTGCAGTTTTAAATGGAAATATAAACTACGTACTATAATGTAACTAGTAGTAAAGAAAGTGGAAGATGACCTGGGTGTATTGGACAAATCATGGGGATTTTCTTACTTTATACTCAACTTTTTATATTTAAACTGATCATTTTGTCACGCTCAAAATGAAGGCACTGATTTGTCAGGGAAACATCTAATATTGTTATTATTACTTTAGTAATACGTTTGGTAGCAATGGAAAAAGTATTACTTAAGATCCTATTTTTTCTCTATACACACACAAAGAAAAACAGGACTCACGACAGAAGGTGTTCGTCCTCCATTCGATGGGACTCCTGCAGCAGCACACATGTCGGCGTAGGTCTCTATGGCCTGGCACAGAGCCACGGTCTCACCTCCAGTGGCACACATGTCGAATACACAACTCTCAAAGTATGGCTCAGGGGATACAACAGCGTGGCAGGGCTTAAAGATTCCTGAGGTTAAGATCAAAGATAGAACAAAGTGTAGTTGAAGCGACTGCTTGGGGATGATTTTCACCACATTGTCTAGCCTAACAGTGATATATATCAGAGAGGCCAGCCCAAAGTTTTAAGGTAAATGTAAAGATTGTTTAATATATGTGAAACATATACAAAGTGGGAAAAAGGCATGAAGGGCTTACTTCAGCTAACAGCACATATCTATATTTCACATCACCAAACCAATTGGTTGTTTTACTGCATGTATACGTCATATCATTTCCCAAGCATCGCTTCCACAGTTCCTGGCTTGTGCTGAGAGCCATGTTTTGTCTACAAGGGTGCTGAAGTCATCAAATGTCAGTGCTTAATAAGATTAAGTACACACTGTAAACCAGCATATTGTTTCAGTGGAGGAGTTTGTGTGTTCTAGTCACGTGCTTGTGACAATACAAAGCATCATATAAGAATCAGTCTATTTAGTATTTACAGGCATCCAACAGGTACCTGCGGGCCAAATGGAGTGAAAGGCAGTAGATGAAAAAGGAGGAGTTTGGTGAGTCCATTAAAATGGCAAACAATCCTCAATCCTACAGTCAGGTCTTCTGTAATGGAAGCAGAGTCTGTGCACCAACTATAAGGGATCACATTTCTCACCCTCCCTGGGAAAATCAGTGGTAGGCTGCCAGGGGCGGCCTTTCTCACTGATTCTGTTCATAGTTTTTATGTAAGAATATCTCGGCACAGCCAAGTAATGAAGGCTGTCCATTTGGTGGCATCAGGATTCCATCTTTGCCTTTTGCAGATTTTGTTGTTCATCACATGGTGAGCTCCAGCTTCCACTGGAACGTTTCGCAGCTGAGTGTAAAGCGAGAACCTCCAAGTCCAAGACCACGGTTCTCAGCCAGAAAAGGTGGAGCACTCACTCCAGGTCAGGGATGAGTTCAGGGGTCTTGGGATCTTGTGCATATGTATTATTGTAGGGTCTACCTTTCAATATAAAGTGCCTTGAGGCAACTGTTATTGTGATTTGTGGCTGTACAAATAAAATTCAATTGATTTGACAGACGGATTGGATAGCATCTGGGTAATCTATGATCCTTCCCTGACCTACGGTTCAGAGCTCTGGGTAGCGACCGAAAAAATGAGGTTATGTACATAAGCGGCGGAAATGAGCTTCCTTCGAAGGGTGGCTGGGCTCCAAGATAGGGTGAAGAGCTTGGAGTAGAGTGGCAGCTCCTCCACATTCAAAGGAGCCAATTAGGTGGTTCGGGCATTGACTAGGATGCCACCTGGACACATTTGAGTTAAGGTATTCTGTGATTGAAGGAGGCGGGTCAGTTCCAGGACTTGTTGGAGTGAGAGATCGCTGGAAATATAACTTATTAATGTCAGAAGAGCTGACTAGGATGAGGAAAGTCTGGGCTTGTCTCCTTAAACTACTGCCCCCAGGACCATAGATGGATGGATGGATGGATGGATGGATGGATGGATGGGTAGATGATATTAGACTATTAGTTGTAATGATAACATTCTTTTATGTGTGCGTGTGTGTGTGTATCTTAGTGAGAGAGAGAGAGAGCGCGTGCACACACATATGTGTTTTTCATACCGTTGGGATCAGTGATCATGCCACAGCTGGTAGGCTTCGTGGCCTCTTCCTCCACCTTTACATCACAATCTTCTTCTTCTGTACCATCAGTACAGCTGAGAGGAAATGGGAGAATTCATTGCAATGGAGTCAACATGTTTGTGTTTGGTAATTCTAAGGCTAAGATTAGCAGGAGACTGGTGACATGTACAGGACAATTTCTGGGAAGAACTTGAAAAGTTTAATAGCGATATTTAATGCAGACGTAGCAGTCAAAGCCGAATGACAATGAAATAAAAGGAACTTAGGAATAAAGTAGGATCAACAATTTTTGTATTGACATAATGATGAAGAAATGAAAATCTACAAATAGATAAAATTAAAGGTCTTATATTCTGTTTTCTGTAATGTGACTCACTCGGGGTCTGAGTCAGCAACCTGCCAGCTGTCTCCTAGCTCATTGGTGTTAGCAGCTGGTGTGTTATCTGGTTTCAAGTTGTCATCGTTAGGGTTCCCATTGAAATTTCCTGTGGAGACAACAGATATTCAAAATCACTCTATTTTAATTAGTCAAATCCTGTGTTTTATTCACTTAGTAAGGAACAACAGCAAATAATTGCACTGGCTCTTACCACACATCCCACAGAGTAGGCCATTGTAGGAAGTTGGCAAAGTGACATCAGCATGATGGTTTCCATCAAAACGCACCCTCAGATTAAAAGATGTTTCTAAGACAACAAACTTTCCACTCAAGTAGATCTTAACTCCCCTGATGGAGGTAACAGGTGGAACAACCGCAGTGCCATTGACCTGACAACAGCCAGAGATCACAATATTATTGCCAGAAAAACACAGCTTATTATGTGTACTTGTTCTTTGTTCCTCTACAGTAGACTTTTCCTTTAAATCAACCATCTTTATATACAAATGCAGCAGGGGACAGTTTCCACCTTCTACTGAGAAGAGGCTGAATCTGTTATTAAAACACATGTTAGGAAAACACATTCAGTAAAGAGGCTGCTATAAATATAGCTTTGTTATACTTGCATTCTGTTGATTTAAATTTGGTGGAGAACTAGTTTAATTTTTTAAAAATTGTGTTTTATTTTGACTGCTGCAGATTATAAAAATCTTAAATCTGATTATGAAGAGATTTAAAGAAAATCTTACAAGTGGTTCTTGTTCCAATAGGCCTAGGCTGTACATATTGGCCTTAAAATTATTCAGTTGGTAGTAAATAAAATGGGTAAAAGCACTAAGATAGCAAACAGAGATACTGTTTATTGTATGAGTGACTGGAAGAACCCTCTGCCTACCTGGACCGTGTGTCCCTTGCCAAGGATGACAGTGATACCATTCACATTGATCACCACAGCCCTCACATAGGAAACCTTCTTATTACTTCCTCTGTGCTCATTCTGGGTATGGACCGTGAAATGTGGCAAGCCAGAGGAGACATTGCAGGGTTTGGTCAAGGTGTAGGAGCATGAACCCATGTAATGGTGAGTACGTTTATCAAAGGTTATGTAGTGAGGATCACCAGAAACTGAGCAGATACCATTTCCTGAACAAAGAAGGCAGGGAGTTACTTTATCATTTACCATGATGAGCAAAACAAATGCAGATTTCAGTGGAACTATATAAAATGGATAATGCACTGAGATGTCAGATGTGTTAAATGAAATAATAATCTTTAGATGTATGTGAAGCGGTGTGATTAATATACCCAGAGGGTGGCATTCATATTCTCCATCTTGTAGTTGGCAGCTCTCAGTAGTTGGGTTACAGCTGGTGTTATGACACTGTAGAAGACCTCCACTGTGACACATACACTTTTGTTCACAACCCTCCAAGTACCAGTCATCGCCCACCTGAAAAATGTACACAGAATACAAAAAACAATCAAAATTTTGTCATGTAATTCTCTCTTATACATCACACGAATATAAAGATAAGATAAGATAAGATAACCTTTATTAGTCCCACACGTGGGAAATTTGTGGGAAAGATCAAAAATGATAAATAAATATATAAATATAAATGTATCAAAATGTATATAAATATACATGTGGATGCAAACCAGGGATTCTGTATGCCACTAACTAATTAGGCCAACCTACACTCATTTATTTATTGATTTTGGGCTTGCTAATTGTGGTGGCACCCATATGTAAATGCTGTGACATAAATACAAATTCTATAACACCAGTGTCTTTTAAATTCAGGTATAATACAGTATAATAAATATAATCTGTGCTTGATAAGTTGAAAGTAAAAATCTTTGTTGTAAAACCAATATTTATGTGCCAACAGTTCTCTGCAGTCTATGCACCCTTAATTTAGTTGAGTTTTAATTTCTTTTGTACTGTAGGGTCTTTGTGTCTCTTGGCGTCTCTCCTGTTGAAGTTATAAAGAGAACTGAAAATGATGTTAGCATGAGCTTAGCACATTTTAAAGGTAAATGGAATATGGTTTTAATTGTTTGGAGGCTGTTTCCACTTACAGGGTGATAGGTTCCACTGGGGTCCACACAACCACAGTCTCTCAGTTCCACACATTTGTCATCACTGAGAATGAAGCCAGGGTTACACTCACAACCCTCCACACACACTTCCTCACAGCCAGGTGGTCCCACCACACCAAGACATGTCTCAGGACATGAATTCACACAAAGGGAGTAGGAGCTATTGGGAGGACAGGTCAGAGCTGTGTGGACAAACACAGGGATGAACAATAATGAGAGGGAACAATGGTGGACAAATAGCAACAGAGAAGGGAGTGGGAGTAGGATGATTCAAAGACAGGGCACCTACGTATCTCATATTGATTTAATTCAGTGTCATAAATGAAAGCAAGGATAATATTAACTGCATTGAATATTTTACATTGGTTTCAGCATTGTGCGCTGTATCTTAAACTCTCCTCCCTATACAATTATAAATATGATTATAAGTTCAATTATAATGTTGGTGAGCAGGATGTAATATATCGTGGTTATATTTACAGGTGGATACAACTTCCAAATGGAGAAGCTATGGCATGCACCCCATTTAAAAGGGAAAATGCTGAAGGCTCATTTTTCCAAAATGAAAAGGTATTATTCAAGTCTTTATTCATTTATGCTTCAGAATGGGGATTATCAAGCCAATGGGTGATGTCACTGTGACTATGTTTTATATATCATATATCTTTTAGATATATTTGGTATATCTCAGATTCAAACTTACGGCAGAAGTCTGGAGTTCTCCATTGGTAGACTTTGGCTCCAGCACTATGACATGCGTCAGTGTAGGCCTGGAGCTGGTCACACAGCACATGCTGCTGGCCGTTGAACTGACACATGTCATACACACAGCTTTGGAAGAATGGAGTGGGATTAACTACACTGATGCACTCCCTGTAACAGAGAAAAGCACTCACTTAGCTTAGGTAGGAAAAGGCAGAGGCTCATATACTGAAAATCTGAGTTCAAACAAACAAACAAGCTACATTTGGTGGTGAAACAGTCAACAACTGTTGCATAAGTTTAGCAACAATTCACTAGCTGGGGCCATTGAATAAAGGTGAATGGCTTAAACATGAATTGAACTGCGGTTTGGGGAAGGCCTCGCTGGGGACTGGCGGCGGCTCCTGGGCTGGCAGATCCCCATGTACTAATGAGAAGTGAAACAGTGAAAGAATTGAAATTGAAAAGGGGGAGGGAGGGTTGGGAATAAATGGAAGAACAAACAGCTAGTAGAACTGGGGGATTATATATAGATAAGAACAGGAAGGGAAGTGTTTGGATACTTTATCTCTAACTCACTAACTGAGTCCACATTGTCATTTTACATTTTACAGTGTTCCTATTAGAAAAAGGTGAATGGCTTAAACATGAGTTGAACTGAGCTTTAGGGAAGGGCGCAAAGGGGACTGGTGCCTCCCGGGCTGGCAGATCCCCAAAGAAGACATCCCCTAGAAGCAGCAATAATTGTGCATTGTGAAGGTGAAAGACCTCTGCAGTAATAATTCAATTTTTCCAATTCAATTTATTTATACAGCCCCAAATCACAACAACAATCGCCTCAAGGCGCTTTATATGTAAGGTAGACCCTGCAGTAATACCTACAGAAACAACCCAACAATCATATGACTAACTATGAGCAAGCACTTTGGCGACAGTGGGAAGGAACAACTCCTTTTAACAGGAAGAAACTTCTGGCAAAACCATTCCCATGGAAGGACAGCCATCTGCCGCTACCGGCTGAGGTGGAAGAAGGAAAGCAGGACAAAAGAGAAGCGCAGAGAGAAGGTGGTCAAGGATTCCAGAGAGTGGAGTGGTTGAGTTCGGAAAATTATGAAGGAATGGTGGGAGAAGACCACAAAGCAAATTTCAGAAAACGAAAGACCTTAATAGCTTAATGAGGAGAACCCCTGATCGAGTGGCAACGTGGCTCGACTGGTGTGGAGGCTGGATGGATGCATGTTTGTATTTTAAGACATCAGGCAATGGCTTGACGGCTCGTAAAAGCTTTTACTGCTGTGTTTGAAAATGATCGATATGGAGACAGAGACTGGCAATACGGTGTCAGGAATGTGCACTGTTACATTTTGTGAAGATAGATAAATGCATGGACCCTGGCATCCAAGTTATTGGGGAAAGAGGGAAGAGAAACTGGCTTCGAGGTGCCAAAAAGCACGCTGCTGCATTTTGCTCAGGAGAGATAGAGGGAAGAAAAGCTTGCTACTGCAAATGAAGGAAAAGAACTGGCATCCCGGTACCTGATGTATGCAGCCGAATTTGAAAAAGAAGGACAGAGAAATAGAACCTGGAATACCATTGCAAAAAGTATTCACTTTTTGCAATGGTATTCCATGGCTTTGTAAAGGAGGAAAAGAGAAAGAAAACATGGCATCCCAGTGCTAAAAGCATGTTGCTGGATTTGTAAAGGAGGAAAAGAGAAAGAAAACATGGCATCCCAGCGCTAAAAGCCTGCTGCTGCATTTGTAAAGGAGGAACAGAGAAAGGAACCAGGAATCCCGGGCCCAAAAGCTTGCTGGTATATTTGCAAAGGAGGGACAGAGAAAGAGAACCTGGCATTCCAGTGCCAAAAAACATGCTGCTGTATTTTTGTGAAAAGGGGAGGGACGGAAGAGGAACTGGCAACCCGGTGCTAAAAGCGTGCTACTGCATTTGTGAACGAGGGATAGATAAAGAAAGAGAACCTGGCATTCCTGTGCCAAAAAACATGCTGCTGCATTTTTGTGAAAAAGGGAGGGACAGAAGAGGAACTGGCAACCCGGTGCTAAAAGCGTGCTACTGCATTTGTGAACGAGGGATAGATAAAGAAAGCCTGACATCCTAGTGCCAAGAAGCATACTGCTGCATTGTGCGAGGGAGGGACAGAGGGGAAGGGAAACTGGAATCTCCTGGGTAGAAAACCTTGTTGATGCATTTGCAAATGAGGAATAATAACTTGGCATCCTGGTGCCAAAAGCTCACTGTTGTATTTGCAAAGGAGGGTTATAGAAAGAACCTGGTATCCCAGGTTTTTTGCAACGATAGATAGAGATAAACTGGCAAGTCATTGGTAAAAACTTGCTGCTGCGTTTGAGAATGAGGGACAAAGAACAAAACTGGCATCCCAGTGCCAGAAGGGTTCATTACAGCATTACAGTAATAGTATTGAAAATATTTATTCATATTTTACAGGTCAGTTGGGTGATTACCAGGCATGCTGCCATCTATTTCATGATTTTATAAGGTCAGGAAAAAAACGTTGTAAAAACCCAGGAATCCCATCAGTTTAACCAAGTCGATAACCAAAAGTGGAGGGGTTGTGAATTCTTACCGGAAGGGTCCAGTAGGGTCTGTAATTTTACCACATTTCTCTGGTTTTACAACTTCAGCTTCCAAGTTGGGGTCACAGTCTGGATCAGGCTTTGTTCCTGGGGTACATCTGGTCAACACAAATACAAAACACAGTTACATCCTCTTCAGTTTGTCAGAAAGAGTCCAACAGTAAGGTAACAAAAGACATAACCAGAAGAAATCCAAAAGACAGAAAGATAGATATGTTGGAACTCACGAGTCATCTTCATCGTCTTTGGTCTGCCAGCTGTTCCCAAAGTCATTACTATTTCCTGCCACAGTGCCATCTGGTTTAGTGAAGTCATTGTCTGGGTTCCCATCATAGTCACCACAAAGGCCACACATTTGGTCATAGTAGGAGCTGGTAGAACAAAGTCAAGGCAGGATATGTAGGATTAAAATAAGACAAGCTTAAGAATATTTGCAATGTTTAATAAGGTGTTGCTTGGCCTTTTATTGTAATTCTAGAAACAAATGAAGAGAATGCAAAAATCCCTGATACAATAAACCAGGGCATCGTTAGTATATATTAAAAGTTGCATAAGTCCACAATATGCACACAAATGGACTGCTTTGTTTTCACAACATACATAAAACAACTGGTGACGTTCAGCAGTTTAGATCGTTATCTATCAAAATTTCTTCAGATCGTTAGGTTATGGTTGCATCAGAGGAAAGTGGTCATCAAAACAATAATGATAGAGCAATGGAGACAGTGGTCAGGTGTATTGTATGAATGTGTGAAGCAAATAAAAAGAAGTTCTACAATGTCAAAATAGTTCAAACCAATATTTATACTAACCTGGGAACTGAGATCTGGGCATAATGGTTTCCATCCCAACGCACTCTCAGGCCAAAGGATGTTTGAAGCGTGATGAACTGACCAGCAAGACTAATAGACATGAGAGGAGAGGGGGAGTGGGGCAGAGCCACCCGTACTCCGTTCACCTGATTCAGTGATGAAGAAAAAGATGTTAAGAACATAAGAATATAAAGATGTTAAACAGACTGTGTAAACGTCTAATTGGTGGACAGGTCAGGGAGTATAAAAGTACAAAGAGTGTGCAATGTGCAGTATATCAGGCAAAAACAGACTTTGTATAGTTTTAACAAGCAAGACAGACATTGCTTTATGCCTATCACACTGTGTTATCTTTGGCATAGATTCAACTGACAAAATGGGAAAAATCTGTTTGTTTTTTTTTACATGCTGTTAACAACAAAGTAACTAAAGATATAATTTGAGTTCTTTGCTAAAATGTCAGTTATGTGTAGACATAAGACATCCATGGTGATGATACAACTACTGTGTGGGATGTCTGCTGGCACACATTTTACTTAAAGATGGGAAATATAAGAGATAGTAATTCATTCACATACTGACCAGTGTTCTACTGCTCTTCATCAGGGTCACAGTAATTCCATCCACTGTCACATATAGCTTCCTCAGGTATGACACTCCTGCAACTCCTCTCTCTTCATTCTTTGCCTCCACAGAGAACCAAGGGCCTGCACAGGGAAGACCACGACAATCAGGAATATTGTGTGTTTATATTAAAGGTGAACATTGGCATTAACATACAAACCACCACTGACATTCAGTGTCTTCTCTTTGCAGCAAACGTGAATGAAAACAATATATGTCATGCTTTGCGATGAAAATAATAAATGAGTAAATTTAGCTCATTTAAACTTTCATTTGTGCGTGTGGTGTGGCAAGACTAGAACAGGTGCAATGAAACCCAAACATCTTAATGAATAAATGTCTCAAAATAGTGTGTACCTGTGCTGTTCCTACAGCTTCTGGCCAGTGTGTAAGTACAGGTTCCCATGAAGCTGTAGTACTTCTTGTCAAAGGTGTTGTAGTGTGGATCCCCAGAAACTACACAATCCTGAAAACCTGAGAGAGGGAAAAACATCAGGAACATCAGACTGAAACACAGATGAAGCCACTGTAGAACAATTACCTAATAACAGTGCAGTTCACTGTTGCTTTGGACTTATACTGGCATTAAAATAGATGCAAGGAATATATCATTTCCTGACTAGACAAAAATTTGTATTATTTCAATTTCTTTTCTGCAACTCTGTGATTTTGCATTATAAAGAAATGCATGTAACAAGTGTTGTTATAGACAAACTGTACAGAAGAGAGCAAAAGAAACATAACAGCAACACACACATAAATATTTCACTGTTATTGAAAGTAAAAGACGCCTGTGGGTTGTGCTTCTCTATCTTCCATTACTCAGTCTAATTATGTATATTAGAGCAGGGATAGAAAATGCTCGTTTGAGAACTTTGACAAAGTCTACAGCATCACATCAAACGCAGTTGCAAAACTTTTCAGGTTGGCAGTCCAACCCATGAGATCTGGAAACCTACTTAGAATATAATGGCTACAGCTTTGCTGTGTTTTTTTAGGTGTGAACATTACAAACATACTCGTAGGATAGCAGCCCAGCTCTCCATCCTGAAGTTTACATTCATGCATTGGGGGCACTCAGAGGCTTCACAGGTAATTCCAGCTGCACCACACCAACATTTTCGCTTGCAGTCTTCCTCAAAAAACTCCTCTCCAGGCTGACAAACAGACAACAAAATTGACAATTAAGCATAGCAGGCACAGATGATTCTTTGTAGATCCTTTTATGCATGTATGTATGAAAATGTTGTTTTAGAGAGGACATAAAGAGACTGCAAGTGACCTGACTTGAAATACAAAGGACCAAATGATTCACTGCCGGCCTATCAGACCCACTTCACCATACCTCATAATACTGGCCGTTCGTGTGGTTGCAGCCACACATGTTCTCCTTAACGCACTTGCCAGCACTCAGGACATAGCTGGGATCACACACACAGGACTCAGAGCAGGGACCAGAGCAGGAGGGGGGTTTTCCAAAGCATGTTTCCTGACAAGGATCTGCACAAGGTTCGTAGTGGCTGTTTGGGGGACAGCTCAGTGCTAAGCAGACCACAAGAGGTTGAAGTTAGTGATAGGAAACAAAAGTATGTGCTGGTTAAAATATAAAATGACAGCTTTTCACAAGAAAAGAGATACGTCTTTGGCATTTCCAGCTGTGTTGTCTTCCGTGTAACTAGATTGTTTGAGTTTGGTGGTAACCCAGTCTCCTGCAGCCTCTTGGTATATGTTGTCTGCCCAACTAGGTATGCTAAAGCAGCACTCCCTCAGTTAACTTTAGTGAGTAGGAAGCCCGTATGAAGTACTCTTCCACAAGTCAAAACTGACCAAAAACTCTCTTGTGTTATTATCTCCCAACTACTCAGCCAAGCTGATTTTTACCTAATGATATACCTAAAGATATTTTACTACTAAATTAAATCATTTGTCCTTCCAATACTCACGGCAGAAGGTTTCATTCCTCCATGGTCCAAGGTTGACCCCACGATCTTGGCATTCATTGACATAGGCTTCAATGGCTTCACACAAAATGGGCTTGGCACCATCCAGCTCACACAAGTCAAAGACACAGTCCCTGAAGTAATTCTGAGAACAAACAATCACTTTGTTACAATGCTTTATATTGTGTGACCATCTAAAACCACATATTCAAATTATTCCACTATTACGAATATCACATTTTCACCCTGAATGCACACACACATAGACAAATACAACAAGCTCAGAATAAGGACTGGTTCCACATTTGTTTATTATATGTGCACTATCCTCTACATGAACATACATTGGGGTTGACTTTGGGATGGCACACAGCAAAAGGTCCATTTTTGTCCAGCAGAATGCCACAATATCCAGAGCTTTCATACAGTTCCTGTTCTTCTTCATTGCACTCAGGGATCGTAGTGTTGGGTTTCTCATTACATCTGTCAAGACAGACCATCATCTTAAGAACATTTGTCTTTTGTCAATGGTAAATGTTTCTTTACACTTGCATCTCTGCAATACTCACTCTGGATTCATGTTCCAACTGTGTCCAAAGTCATTGGCATTTTCAGCTAAGCTTCCATCTGGTTTGCGGAAGTCATCTTTAGTATCTCCATCATAGTTGCCACACAGGCCACACAGCTTGTTCTGATAGCTGCAGATTGCAGAAAATGATTGTGTTAGAGTCTTATGCAAGAAAGACTAACAAGTAAGCCAGAACTACAACGTGTTTTAATTGCAGCCAAGTTTCTTTTCAGCAGTAGACTAAACCCCACACATTAGTAAGACTAAAAGATCAGACATGTACATTTGATGTGTTTGATAGCATCAGCATAGAATTAACTAGTCAGGAAATTAGAAGTTTTGTGTGATTTTATCTTGAAATTTTGAGGGAGCTGTTTGTGTTGCCCCTGCTAAATTGTTTAAATAAAATATCCTAGCTGTGTCATTAATCTCTGCCTTTATCACCTTACTACTCCTTACAGATAAAGGAGTCATGTTCAGTATATGAAAATGTGTTATAGTGTCATGGTCCGTGGTCCTGAGGAATGCGTGACGCTCGGGTAGCCACACCCCCGGGCTATCACCGGCACATCTGTTCTCCATCACGGTGACTACACGGAGATCTACTGAACCCGGCACTGATGGAAGGCTCCACGCCAGTCCGTTAGTCCCCCCACAGTGGTAACTAGACTTCCACGAAAGCGTGCATTCCCTTCTGGTTGGAACTGTGTTTAATCTGCCTACTTGTGTCCAGGTTTCGACTCGGCGTCTGCCACCTGCCTGTCCTCCGGCTCAACTGGATCACTCGGTGCATCATCTGGCCCATTCGCTATTTCCACGGACTTTCTGCTCACGGACTGCCACACTTCCCTCCCGAGCTCCCACAGTCCCGTTCCATCGTAAGCCCCCTACTCTAACTAAGTCCTGATGTGTTTTCCCTACTTTCCGGCTCCCTAGTAATCATCTCCCCTTTCTATTGCGGCCTCCCATGGTCCTGATCCTGGCTTCCTCGTGTCATTATTCCCCGGGTTTTTAGTTTCTTGTTTTGCTCTCTAGTTTTCCCGGGTCGCCTTTCGTTATTTCAATAAAGTGTCTTTTCTGTTAGCGCGGAGTCTGCATCTGGATCCTTTTGTGCACGCGCGCCGTGGCGCATGACATATAGTTTTAGTTGTATCAGTATGGATGTAGATTTCTGGACTGGTGAACTTGTGATTAAAACACCACTTTATAAGGAAACCATGAATTTGGTCTTCACTCACTCTTCGATTACTTTGATGTCCATGAAGGCGTTTCCATCATAGCGAACCATCACACCAAAGTTCATGGAGACAGTGTAGTGTTTTCCTGACTTGAACACAGAAATACCAGGGGACGGAGACAGTGGCAGATTGACATTGGTCCCATTAACCTGTATGGGAAAATAGGCAGAGTACATCAAATCTGGCCAACATTTTCATTTTTTAATTACCCATGTCACAACATTACTATCTGTAACTGAAAAGAAACGTTCCTTTAGTGGGCGATCGTGGCTCAAGAGTTGGGAGTTCGCCTTGTAATCGGAAGGTTGCCGGTTCGAGCCCCGCTTGGACAGTCTCGGTCGTTGTGTCCTTGGGCAAGACACTTCACCCGTTGCCTACTGGTGGTGGTCAGAGGGCCCGGTGGCGCCAGTGTCTGGCAGCCTCGCCTCTGTCAGTGCGCCCCAGGGTGGCTGTGGCTACAATGTAGCTTGCCATCACCAGTGTGTGAATGTGTGTGTGAATGGGTGGATGACTGGATATGTAAAGCACTTTGGGGTCCTTAGGGACTAGTAAAGCGCTATATAAATACAGGCCATTTACCATTTCTCATGCCAATGATGTCTGTAAATGTCATGCCCGACATGTTAAACGCAGCTGCCGGCATGGCAAGCGAAAGTGGATCGAAGCCAAAGGCATGAATGCACAAGAAAACAGTCGACCAGAACGATACCCGAATATTAAATCGCATTGTACGATCTAACAGGGGCTCGCAGTGGCCGCTCTGTCCCAATCCGAGACAAAATGGACGAGTCCTCCTCACTGACGCTGAGCAAGACCAACGTTGAGCCAAACAGTTCTGCGATACTTTAAACCAGCCCGAGCCACTCCACTTGTTCGAGGCCAAAGAACTTGCACCCTCCATGGATCTTCTTCCTTTCGATATCGGAAAAATTAGCAACGCCGAAGTCAAGACAGCGATGTTGGCTGGACGAGTTCCTCCCCACAATGCTGAAGGACGACAAAGCCCAGTTGGATGCCGCCCTTAGAAGTCCCCTAAATGCCTGCTGGTCAACATCGCATGTACCCTATGAATGGGTAATTTCAACGACTTCAAGAAAGCTTTTGACAACGTCCACCGGCCGACTCTATGGGCTATCCCACGTCAATATGGAGTCCCCCAGCAGTTTGTATACGCCTTTTGTGGTCTCTGCTCCAACTCCCGGTTCTGCGTCCAGACAGATGATTGGATGGTGCCCTTAGAAGACCCCTAAACGCCTGCTGGACAACATCGCGTGTACCCTATGAATGGGCAAAAGGTGTTATCACCAAACTTCCCGAAAGGCGATTTGGGTGACTGTAACAACTGCCGGGGCATCACGCTCCTGTCGGTACCCGGGAAAGTGCTTTGCCTTATTCCTTTGAATTGGCTACTGGGCCCCTACTGGGCTCGACTACGGAAGACCTCCAAGAATGGACTGCAGCTTTGCAGAGGGAGGTGAGGAAGTCGGATTATGAATAAGCGCCAAGAAAACCAAGGTACTCGGAGTTGGCTACACAACTGCCCATGTTCCCGTCATAATCAACCAATAACGTGCTGATAAGTTGGAAAATTTCACATATCTGGGCAGCATCATCTCGAATTATGGGATCTCTGATCAAGATGTAAACTCCAAAGTAGGGAAGGCTGCCGGTGTCCTCCGACGTCTCCAATTCAATTCATTTAAATTCAATGTTTTTTATATAGTCCCAAATCACAAAAACAGTCACCTCAAGGTGCTTTATATTTAAGATAGACCTACAATAATACATACAGAGAAAAAAAACAACAATCATATGACCCCATTGACCAAGCACTTTGGTGACAGAGGCGTCTTTTAACAGGAAGAAGCCTTTGGCAGAACCAGCGAAAGCAAGGCCGACCAAATATCACATGGCGTCGAATGTTTATGGATGATCTGAAAACAGTCGACATCGCCTGGGACGAAGCTGAAACATTCGCCCCTGACCGTCATCGATGGAGATTGTTAGCTGCCCGATGCGTCGCTCGGCGTAGGAGGAACTAAGTGTTAAGTGTAAGTGCAAGTTTCTTTCCATGGTCAATTGCAGTGGTTTTCAGAAGTGTTCCTGAGCATGTGCAGTGGTTTGTACCACAGAATGATGTTTGTGAAACGTGAAAGCGTGATTGGTTTTCACATGCAAAACATCCTGTTTCTTCCTCTCATGTCTTACCTGCACAGTGCCACCTTTGAGAATGGAGATCTTTATCATCTGTGCGTATACATGTACGGCATTCACATAGGAGATGGTCGGCCTGTTATACCGGTTTTCATTGTCAGTATGGACCTCAAAGTAGGGCACAGTTGTGTCATTGCATGGACTAGACATCAGATAGCTGCAGTTGCCCATGAAGTCATATTTGCGTTTGTCAAAGCTGGTGTAGTGTGGATCGCCAGATGCAATGCATGTGGATGTACCTAAAGGAATAATATATGAGAAAATTGTAATTTCCACACTGTCAACTATCAAGTTATACCGACTGACTGTAAAGCACAACACAAGGTGCTCTTTGTGCAGATGTAATTTATTACACTGCATTAAATCAAGTCAACAACAATAAAGTCAACAAACATTATTACCTTTAGGATAACAGCCTGCAACACCATTAACCTCTCGACACTCTTCAGTGGGGTCACAGGAGTTATCAACACATTCCAAAGTGTAGTTCCCTACACAGCGACACAGCTTTGTGCAGCCATCTCCAAATACTATCTCACCAGGCTGGATAAAATGAAAACAATCAGTACTGAGAAAGTATACTGTATGTCTTTAAATGTACACTGTACACAGTACTAACTAGGACATCTGACCTCATAATAGTTATTGTTGTCATCTAAACAACCACACTTGTCCAGTGGCACGCAGTGCCGTCCTTTGAAGACAAAGCCTGGTTTGCAGAAACACCCAGTGATGCAGGAGCCAGAACAGTTGGTAGAGGGTTCCATACATGTAGGAATGCAAGCTGGACCACACTCTATATACTCTGCGTTAGGAGGACACAGGTCTGGGTAGAAAGAAAAAGGATTACTGGAAAATGAGCAGATACTCTTTCAGGAACTAAAAAGGTAGGAAGTTATTATGCAGTGTTAACAAACTCAGTCCAAACTAACAACATCAGTTGAGACAGTGGAGGTTTGGAGCGCCTGTTGCTAAAATGACTGCATTTATTTACTGCATTTCTAGGGCCAGTCGGATAAAGCACTTGACACTGTAATCCACATCCATGCATTCATGCAGCTATTTCTATGTGAAGCTGTGTGATTAACATACCCAGAGGGTGGCATTCATATTCTCCATCTTGTAGTTGGCAGCTCTCAGTAGTTGGGTTACAGCTGGTGTTATGACACTGTAGCAGACCTCCACTGTGACACATACACTTTTGTTCACAACCCTCCAAGTACCAGTCATCGCCCACCTGACAAATGTACACAGAATGCAAAAAACAATCAAAATTTTGTCATGTAATTCTCTCTTATATATCTGTGAAGGTTCTCAGTCATCCAGGTCATCGTAGTCAAAGGAGCTTGCAAAGAAAAGCGTCTGGACTTCTTTAAGTCTTTAAGTCTTCAAGCAACTTAAAGAAGTCCAGACGCCTTTCTTTGCAGACTCCTTTTACATTCTCTCTTATACATCACACGAATATAAAGATCAAAATGATAAATATACATTTGGATGCAAACCAGGGATTCTGTATGCCACTAACTAATTAGGCCAACCTTTACTCATTTATTTATTGATTTTGGGCTTGCTAATTGTGGTGGCACCAGTATGTAAATGCTATGACATAAATACAAATTCTATAACACCAGTGTCTTTTAAATTCAGGTATAATACAGTATAATAAATATAATCTGTGCTTGATAAGTTGAAAGTAAAAATCTGTGTTGTAAAACCAATATTTATGTGCCAACAGTTCTCTGCAGTCTATGCACCCTTAATTTAGTTGAGTTTTAATTTCTTTTGTACTGTAGGGTCTTTGTGTCTCTTGGCGTCTCTCCTGTTGAAGTTATAAAGAGAACTGAAAATGATGTTAGCATGAGCTTAGCACATTTTAAAGGTAAATGGAATATGGTTTTAATTGTTTGGAGGCTGTTTCCACTTACAGGGTGATAGGTTCCACTGGGGTCCACACAACCACAGTCTCTCAGTTCCACACATTTGTCATCACTGAGAATGAAGCCAGGGTTACACTCACAACCCTCCACACACACTTCCTCACAGCCAGGTGGTCCCACCACACCAAGACATGTCTCAGGACATGAACTCACACAAAGGGAGTAGGAGCTATTGGGAGGACAGGTCAGAGCTGTGTGGACAAACACAGGGATGAACAATAATGAGAGGGAACAATGGTGGACAAATAGCAACAGAGAAGGGAGTGGGTAGTACGATGATTCAAAGACAGGGCACCTACGTATCTCATATTGATTTAACTCAGTGTCATAAATGAAAGCAAGGATAATATTAACTGCATTGAATATTTTACATTGGTTTCAGCATTGTGCGCTGTATCTTAAACTCTCCTCCCTATACAATTATAAATATGATTATAAGTTCAATTATAATGTTGGTGAGCAGGATGTAATATATCGTGGTTATATTTACAGGTGGATACAACTTCCAAATGGAGAAGCTATGGCATGCACCCCATTTAAAAGGGAAAATGCTGAAGGCTCATTTTTCCAAAATGAAAAGGTATTATTCAAGTCTTTATTCATTTATGCTTCAGAATGGGGCTTATCAAGCCAATGGGCGATGTCACTGTGACTATGTTTTATATATCATATATCATTTAGATATATTTGGTATATCTCAGATTCAAACTTACGGCAGAAGTCTGGAGTTCTCCATTGGTAGACTTTGGCTCCAGCACTATGACATGCGTCAGTGTAGGCCTGGAGCTGGTCACACAGCACATGCTGCTGGCCGTTGAACTGACACATGTCATACACACAGCTTTGGAAGAATGGAGTGGGATTAACTACACTGATGCACTCCCTGTAACAGAGAAAAGCACTCACTTAGCTTAGGTAGGAAAAGGCAGAGGCTCATATATACTGAAAATCTGAGTTCGAACAAACAAAAAAGCTACAATTGGTGGTGAAACAGTCAACAACTGTTGCATAAGTTTAGCAACAATTCACTAGCTGGGGCCAGTGAATAAAGGTGAATGGCTTAAACATGAATTGAACTGCGGTTTGGGGAAGGTCTCGCTGTGGACTGGCAGCGGCTCCCGGGCTGGCAGATCCCCAAAGAAGACATCCCCTAGAAGCAGCAATAACTGTGCATTGTGAAGGTGAAAGACCTCTGCAGGAATAATTCAATTTTTCAATTCAATTATTTATACAGCCCAAATCACAACAACAATCGCCTCAAGGTGCTTTATATGTAAGGTAGACCCTGCAATAATACCTACAGGGAAAACCCAACAATCATATGACTCCCTATGAGCAAGCACTTTGGCGAAGTGGGAAGGAACAACTCCTTTTAACGGGAAGAAACTTCTGGCAAAACCATTCCCATGGAAGGACAGCCATCTGCCGCTACCGGCTGAGGTGGAAGAAGGAAAGCAGGACAAAAGAGAAGCGCAGAGAGAAGGTGGTCAAGGATTCCAGAGAGTGGAGTGGTTGAGTTCGGAAAATTATGAAGGAATGGTGGGAGAAGACATCAAAGCAGATTTCAGACAACGAAAGACCTTAATAGCTGAATGAGGAGAGTGGCAACGTGGCTCGACTGGTGTGGAGGCTGGATGGATGCATGTCTGTATTTTAAGACATCAGGCAATGGCTTGACGGCTCGTAAAAGCTTTTACTGCTGTGTTTGAAAATGATCGATATGGAGACAAAGACTGGCAATACGGTGTCAGGAATGTGCATTGTTATGTTTTGTGAAAGATAGATAGATGCATGGACCCTGGCATCCAAGTTATTGGGGAAAGAGGGAAGAGAAAGTGGCTTCCAGGTTCCAAAAAGCACGCTGCTGCATTTTGTGAAAAAGGGAGGGAATTCTGCTGGATTTGTAAAGGAGGAAAAGAGAAAGAAAACATGGCATCCCAGTGCTAAAAGCCTGCTGCTGTATTTGTACAGGAGGAACAGAGAAAGTAACCCAGAATCCCGGGCCCAAAGGCTTGCTGGTGCATTTGCAAAGGAGGGACAGAGAAAGAGAACCTGGCATTCCTGTGCCAAAAAACATGCTGCTGCACTTTTGTGAAAAGGGGACGGAGGAAGAGGAACTGGCAACCCGGTGCTAAAACTTGCTCCTGCATTTGTGAAGGAGGGATAGAGAAAGAAAGCCTGACATCCTAGTGCCAAGAAGCATACTGCTGCATTGTGCGAGGGAGGGACAGAGGGGAAGGGAAACTGGAATCTCCTGGGTAGAAAACCTTGTTGATGCATTTGCAAATGAGGAATAATAACTTGGCATCCTGGTGCCAAAAGCTCACTGTGGCATTTGCAAAGGAGGGTTATAGAAAGAACCTGGTATCCCAGGTTTTTTGCAACGATAGATAGAGATAAACTGGCAAGTCATTGGTAAAAACTTGCTGCTGCGTTTGAGAATGAGGGACAAAGAACGAAACTGGCATCCCAGTGCCAGAAGGGTCATTACAGTTGTTGGTATTGATTTACCAGGCATGCTGCCATCTATTTCATGATTTTATAAGGTCAGGAAAAAAACGTTGTAAAAACCCAGGAATCCCATCAGTTTAACCAAGTCGATAACCAAAAGTGGAGGGGTTGTGAATTCTTACCGGAAGGGTCCAGTAGGGTCTGTAATTTTACCACATTTCTCTGGTTTTACAACTTCAGCTTCCAAGTTGGGGTCACAGTCTGGATCAGGCTTTGTTCCTGGGGTACATCTGGTCAACACAAATACAAAACACAGTTACATCCTCTTCAGTTTGTCAGAAAGAGTCCGACAGCAAGGTAACGAAAGACATAACCAGAAGAAATCCAAAAGACAGAAAGATAGATATGTTGGAACTCACGAGTCATCTTCATCGTCTTTGGTCTGCCAGCTGTTCCCAAAGTCATTACTATTTCCTGCCACAGTGCCATCTGGTTTAGTGAAGTCATTGTCTGGGTTCCCATCATAGTCACCACAAAGGCCACACATTTGGTCATAGTAGGAGCTGGTAGGACAAAGTCAAGGCAGGATATGTAGGATTAAAATAAGACAAGCTTAAGAATATTTGCAATGTTTCATAAGGTGTTGCTTGGCCTTTTATTGTAATTCTAGAAACAAATGAAGAGAATGCAAAGATCCCTGATACAATAAACCAGGGCATCGTTAGTATATATTAAAAGTTGCATAAGTCCACAATATGCACACAAATGGACTGCTTTGTTTTCACAACATACATAAAACAACTGGTGATGTTCAGCAGTTTAGATCGTTATCTATCAGAGTTTCTTCAGATCGTTAGGTTATGGTTGCATCAGAGGAAAGTGGTAATCAAAAAAAGAATGATGGAGCAATGGAGACAGTGGTCAGGTGTATTGTATGAATGTGTGAAGCAAATAAAAAGAAGTTCTACAATATCAAAATAGTTCAAACCAATATTTATACTAACCTGGGAACTGAGATCTGGGCATAATGGTTTCCATCCCAACGCACCCTCAGGCCAAAGGATGTTTGAAGCGTGATGAACTGACCAGCAAGACTAATAGACATGAGAGGAGAGGGGGAGTGGGGCAGAGCCACCCGTACTCCGTTCACCTGATTCAGTGATGAAGAAAAAGATGTTAAGAATATAAGAATATAAAGATGTTAAACAGACTGTGTAAACGTCTAATTGGTGGACAGGTCAGGGAGTATAAAAGTACAAAGAGTGTGCAATGTGCAGTATATCAGGCAAAAACAGACTTTGTATAGTTTTAACAAGCAAGAAAGACATTGCTTTATGCCTATCACACTGTGTTATCTTTGGCATAGATTCAACTGACAAAATGGGAAAAATCTGTTTTGTTTTTTTTACATGTTGTTAACAACAAAGTAACTAAAGATATAATTTGAGTTCTTTGCTAAAATGTCAGTTATGTGTAGACATAAGACATACATGGTGATGATACAAATACTGTGTGGGATGTCTGCTGGCACACATTTTACTTAAAGATGGGAAATATAAGAGATAGTAATTCATTCACATACTGACCAGTGTTCTACTGCTCTTCATCAGGGTCACAGTAATTCCATCCACTGTCACATATAGCTTCCTCAGGTATGACACTCCTGCAACTCCTCTCTCTTCATTCTTTGCCTCCACAGAGAACCAAGGGCCTGCACAGGGAAGACCACGACAATCAGGAATATTGTGTGTTTATATTAAAGGTGAATATTGGCATTAACATACAAACCACCACTGACATTCAGTGTCTTCTCTTTGCAGCAAACGTGAATGAAAACAACATCTGTCATGCTTTGCGATGAAAATAATAAATGAGTAAATTTAGCTCATTTAAACTTTAATTTGTGCGTGTGGTGTGGCAAGACTAGAACAGGTGCAATGAAACCCAAACATCTTAATGAATAAATGTCTCAAAATAGTGTGTACCTGTGCTGTTCCTACAGCTTCTTGCCAGTGTGTAAGTACAGGTTCCCATGAAGCTGTAGTACTTCTTGTCAAAGGTGTTGTAGTGTGGATCCCCAGAAACTACACAATCCTGAAAACCTGAGAGAGGGAAAAACATCAGGAACATCAGACTGAAACACAGATGATAAAAAAGATGCAAAGAATATGTCATTTCCTGACTAGACAAAAATTTTCTGCAACTCTGTGATTTTGTATTATAAAGAAATGCATGTAACACGTGTTGTTATAGACAAACTGTACAGAAGAGAGCAAAAGAAACATAACAGCAACACACACATAAATATTTCACTGTTATTGAAAGTAAAAGACGCCTGTGGGTTGTGCTTCTCTATCTTCCATTGCTCAGTCTAATTATGTATATTAGAGCAGGGATAGAAAATGCTCGTTTGAGAACTTTGACAAAGTCTACAGCATCACATCAAACACAGTTGCAAAACTTTTCAGGTTGGCAGTCCAACCCATGAGATCTGGAAACCTACTTAGAATATAATGGCTACAGCTTTGCTGTGTTTTTTTAGGTGTGAACATTACAAACATACTCGTAGGATAGCAGCCCAGCTCTCCATCCTGAAGTTTACATTCATGCATTGGGGGGCATTCAGAGGCTTCACAGGTAATTCCAGCTGCACCACACCAACATTTTCGCTTGCAGTCTTCCTCAAAAAACTCCTCTCCAGGCTGACAAACAGACAACAAAATTGACAATTAAGCATAGCAGGCACAGATGATTCTTTGTAGATCATTTTATGCATGTATGTATGAAAATGTTGTTTTAGAGAGGACATAAAGAGACTGCAAGTGACCTGACTTGAAATACAAAGGACCAAATGATTCACTGCCGGCCTATCAGACCCACTTCACCATACCTCATAATACTGGCCGTTCGTGTGGTTGCAGCCACACATGTTCTCCTTAACGCACTTGCCAGCACTCAGGACATAGCTGGGATCACACACACAGGACTCAGAGCAGGGACCAGAGCAGGAGGGGGGTTTTCCAAAGCATGTTTCCTGACAAGGATCTGCACAAGGTTCGTAGTGGCTGTTTGGGGGACAGCTCAGTGCTAAGCAGACCACAAGAGGTTGAAGTTAGTGATAGGAAACAAAAGTATGTGCTGGTTAAAATATAAAATGACAGCTTTTCACAAGAAAAGAGATACGTCTTTGGCACTTCCAGCTGTGTTGTCTTCCGTGAACTAGATTGTTTGAGTTTGGTGGTAACCCAGTCTCCTGCAGCCTCTTGGCATATGTTGTCTGCCCAACTAGGTATGCTAAAGCAGCACTCCCTCGGTTAACTTTAGTGAGTAGGAAGCCCGTATGAAGTACTCTTCCACAAGTCAAAACTGACCAAAAACTCTCTTGTGTTATTATCTCCCAACTACTCAGCCAAGCTGATTTTTACCTAATGATATACCTAAAGATATTTTACTACTAAATTAAATCATTTGTCCTTCCAATACTCACGGCAGAAGGTTTCATTCCTCCATGGTCCAAGGTTGACCCCACGATCTTGGCATTCATTGACATAGGCTTCAATGGCTTCACACAAAATGGGCTTGGCACCATCCAGCTCACACAAGTCAAAGACACAGTCCCTGAAGTAATTCTGAGAACAAACAATCACTTTGTTACAATGCTTTATATTGTGTGACCATCTAAAACCATATATTCAAATTATTCCACTATTACTAATATCACATTTTCACCCTGAACGCACACACACATACACAAATACAACAAGCTCAGAATAAGGACTGGTTCCACATTTGTTTATTATATGTGCACTATCCTCTACATGAACATACATTGGGGTTGACTTTGGGATGGCACACAGCAAAAGGTCCATTTTTGTCCAGCAGAATGCCACAATATCCAGAGCTTTCATACAGTTCCTGTTCTTCTTCATTGCACCCAGGGATGGTAGTGTTGGGTTTCTCATTACATCTGTCAAGACAGACCATCATCTTAAGAACATTTGTCTTTTGTCAATGGTAAATGTTTCTTTACACTTGCATCTCTGCAGTACTCACTCTGGATTCATGTTCCAACTGTGTCCAAAGTCATTGGCATTTTCAGCTAAGCTTCCATCCGGTTTGCGGAAGTCATCTTTGGTATCTCCATCATAGTTGCCACACAGGCCACACAGCTTGTTCTGATAGCTGCAGGTTGCAGAAAATGATTGTGTTAGAGTCTTATGCAAGAAAGACTAACAAGTCAGCCAGAACTACAACGTGTTTTAATTGCAGCCAAGTTTCTTTTCAGCAGTAGACTAAACCCCACACATTAGTAAGACTAAAAGATCAGACATGTACATTTGATGCGTTTGATAGCATCAGCATAGAATTAACTAGTCAGGAAATTAGAAGTTTTGTGTGATTTTATCTTGAAATTTTGAGGGAGCTGTTTGTGTTGCCCCTGCTAAATTGTTTAAATAAAATATCCTAGCTGTGTCATTAATCTCTGCCTTTATCACCTTACTACTCCTTACAGATAAAGGATTCATGTTCAGTATATGAATATGTGTTATAGTTTTAGTTGTATCAGTATGGATGTAGATTTCTGGACTGGTGAACTTGTGATTAAAACACCACTTTATAAGGAAACCATGAATTTGGTCTTCACTCACTCTTCGATTACTTTAATGTCCATGAAGGAGTTTCCATCATAGCGAACCGTCACACCAAAGTTCATGGAGACAGTGTAGTGTTTTCCTGACTTGAACACAGAAATACCAGGGGCCGGAGACAGTGGCAGATTGACATTGGTCCCATTAACCTGTATGGGAAAATAGGCAGAGTACATCAAATCTGGTCAATTATTAGCCAACATTTTCATTTTTGAATTACTCATGTCACAACATTACTATCTGTAACTGAAAAGAAACGTTCCTTTATCATGCCAATGATGTCTGAACAACTCAGCTCTTGCCCGACATGTCAAATGCAGCTGCCGGCATGACAAGCGAGAGTGGATCGAAGCCAAAGGCATGGATGCCCAAGAAAACAGTAGACCAGAACGATACCCGAATATTAAATCGCATTGTACCAGATCTAACAGGGCTCGCAGTGGCCGCTTGGTCCCAATCCGAGACAAAATGGACGAGTCCTCCTCACTGAAGCTGAGCAAGACCAATGTTGAGCCAAACAGTTCTGCGATACTTTAAACCAGCCCGAGCCACTCCACTTGTTCGAGGCCAAAGAACTTGCATCCTCCATGGATCTTCTTCCTGTCGATATCGGAAAAATCATCAACGCCGAAGTCAAGACAGCGATGCTGGCCTGGACGAGTTCCTCCCCACAATGCTGAAGGATGACGAAGCCCAGTTGGATGCCGCCCTTAGAAGTCCCCAAAATGCCTGCTGGTCAACATCGTGTGTACCCTATGAATGGGTAATTTCAATGACTTCAAGAAAGCTTTTGACAACGTCCACCGGCCGACTCTATGGGCTATCCCACGTCAATATGGAGTCCCCAGCAGTTTGTAGACGCCTTTTGTGGTCTCTGCTCCAACTCCCGGTTCTGCGTCCAGACAGATGATTGGATGGTGCCCTTAGAAGACCCCTAAACGCCTGCTGGACAACATCGCGTGTACCCTATGAATGGGAAAAAGGTGTTATCACCAAACGTCCCGAAAGGCGATTTGGGTGACTGTAACAACTGCCGGGGCATCACGCTGCTGTCGGTACTCGGGAAAGTGCTTTGCCTCATTCTTTTGAATTGGCTACTGGGCCCCTACTGGGCTCGACTACGGAAGACCTCCAAGAATGGACTGCAGCTTTGTAGAGGCAGGTGAGGAAGTCGGATTACGAATCAGCGCCAAGAAAACCAAGGTACTCAGAGTTGGCTACACAACTGCCCATGTTCCCGTCATAATCAACCAATAACGTGCTGATAAGTTGGAAAATTTCACATATCTGGGCAGCATCATCTCGAATTATGGGATCTCTGATCAAGATGTAAACTCCAAAGTAGGGAAGGCTGCCGGTGTCCTCCGACGTCTCCAATTCAATTCATTTAAATTCAATGTTTTTTATATAGTCCCAAATCACAAAAACAGTCACCTCAAGGTGCTTTATATTTTAAGATAGACCTTACAATAATACATACAGAGAAAAAAAACAACAATCATATGACCCCATTGACCAAGCACTTTGGTGACAGAGGCGTCTTTTAACAGGAAGAAGCCTTTGGCAGAACCAGCGAAAGCAAGGCCGACCAAATATCACATGACGTCGAATGTTTATGGATGATCTGAAAACAGTCGACATCGCCTGGGACGAAGCTGAAACATTCGCCCCTGACCGACATCGATGGAGATTGTTAGCTGCCCGATGCGTCGCTCGGCGTAGGAGGAACTAAGTGGTAAGTGTAAGTGCAAGTTTCTTTCCATGGTCAATTGCAGTGGTTTTCAGAAGTGTTCCTGAGCATGTGCAGTGGTTTGTACCACAGAATGATGTTTGTTTGTAATGCAGTATAACGTGAAAGCGTGATTGGTTTTCACATGCAAACATCCTGTTTCTTCTTCTCATGTCTTACCTGCACAGTGCCACCTTTGAGAATGGAGATCTTTATCATCTGTGCGTATACATGTACGGCATTCACATAGGAGATGGTCGGCCTGTTATACCGGTTTTCATTGTCAGTATGGACCTCAAAGTAGGGCACAGTTGTGTCATTGCATGGACTAGACATCAGATAGCTGCAGTTGCCCATGAAGTCATATTTGCGTTTGTCAAAGCTGGTGTAGTGTGGATCGCCAGATGCTATGCATGTGGATGTACCTAAAGGAATAATATATGAGAAAATTGTAATTTCCACACTGTCAACTATCAAGTTATACCGACTGACTGTAAAGCACAACACAAGGTGCTCCTTGTGCAGATGTAATTTATTACACTGCATTAAATCAAGTCAACAACAATAAAGTCAACAAACATTATTACCTTTAGGATAACAGCCTGCAACACCATTAACCTCTCGACACTCTTCAGTGGGGTCACAGGAGTTATCAACACATTCCAAAGTGTAGTTCCCTACACAGCGACACAGCTTTGTGCAGCCATCTCCAAATACTATCTCACCAGGCTGGATAAAATGAAAACAATCAGTACTGAGAAAGTATACTGTATGTCTTTAAATGTACACTGTACACAGTACTAACTAGGACATCTGACCTCATAATAGTTATTGTTGTCATCTAAACAACCACACTTGTCCAGCGGCACGCAGTGCCGTCCTTTGAAGACAAAGCCTGGTTTGCAGAAACACCCAGTGATGCAGGAGCCAGAACAGTTGGTAGAGGGTTCCATACATGTAGGAATGCAAGCTGGACCACACTCTATATACTCTGCGTTAGGAGGACACAGGTCTGGATAGAAAGAAAAAGGATTACTGGAAAATGCGCAGATACTCTTTCAGGAACTAAAAAGGTAGGAAGTTATTATGCAGTGTTAACAAACTCAGTCCAAAAAAACAACATCAGTTGAGACAGTGGAGGTTTGGAGCGCCTGTTGCTAAAATGACTGCATTTATTTACTGCATTTCTAGGACCAGTCGGATAAAGCACTTGACACTGTAATCCACATCCATGCATTCATGCAGCTATTTCTATGTGAAGCTGTGTGATTAACATACCCAGAGGGTGGCATTCATATTCTCCATCTTGTAGTTGGCAGCTCTCAGTAGTTGGGTTACAGCTGGTGTTATGACACTGTAGCAGACCTCCACTGTGACACATACACTTTTGTTCACAACCCTCCAAGTACCAGTCACCGCCCACCTGACAATGTACACAGAATACAAAAAACAATCAAAATTCTGTCATGTAATTCTCTCTTATACATCACACGAATATCCATCCATCCATCCATCTTCATCCGCTTATCGAGGTCGGGTCGCGGGGGTAGCAGCCTAAGCAAAGAGGTCCAGACCTCCCTCTCCCCAGCCACCTCCTCCAGCTTGTCCGGGGGAATACCAAGGCGTTCCCAGGCCAGCCGAGAGATATAATCTCTCCAGCGTGTCCTGGGTCTGCCCCGGGGCCTCCTCCCGGTGGGACATGCCTGGAACACCTCGCCCAGGAGGCGCCCAGGGGCATCCTTGCCAGATGCCCGAACCACCTCAGCTGGCTCCTTTCGATGTGGAGCAGCAGCTGCTCTACTCTAAGCCCTCCCGGATGGCCGAACTTCTCACCCTATCTCTAAGGGAGAGGCCAGCCACCCTTCGGAGGAAGCTCATTTCCGCCGCTTGTATCCGCGATCTCGTTCTTTCGGTCACTACCCACAGCTCGTGGCCATAGGTGAGGGTAGGGACGTAGATCGACCGGTAAATTGAGAGCTTCGCTTTTACACTCAGCTCCCTCTTCACCACGACCGACCGGTGCAGCGTCCGCATTACTGCAGCCGCAGCCCCAATCCGTCTGTCGATCTCCAGCTCCCTTCTCCCATCACTCGCGAACAAGACCCCGAGATACTTGAACTCCTCCACTTGGGGCAGGAACTCATCCCCGACCCGGAGTGGGCACTCCACCCTTTTCCGGCTGAGAACCATGGCCTCAGATTTGGAGGTGCTGATCCTCATTCCCGCTGCGTTACACTCGGCTGCGAACCGCTCCAGTGCGAGCTGGAGGCCCTCACCCGATGAAGCCAACAGAACCACATCATCCGCAAAAATCAGAGATGAGATTCTGAGGCCACCAAAGCGAAAGCCCTCCGCCACTTGGCTGCGCCTAGAAATCCTGTCCATAAAAATTATGAACAGAACCGGAGACAAAGGGCAGCCTTGGCGGAGCCCATCACCCACCGGGAACGAGTCCGACTTATTGCCGGCAATGCGCACCAAGCTCTTGCAACGGTTGTATAGGGATTGAATGGCCCGTAGCAATGGGCCAGACACCCCATACTCGCGCAACACCTCCCACAGGACGCCCCGAGGGACACGGTCGAATGCCTTCTCCAGGTCCACAAAACACATGTAGACTGGTTGGGCAAACTCCCATGCACCCTCAAGTATCCTCGAGAGGACAAAGAGCTGGTCCAGTGTTCCGCGACCAGGACGAAAACCGCATTGTTCTCCTGTATCCGAGGTTCGACTAGCGGACGAACCCTCCTCTCCAGCACCCTGGCATAGACTTTCCCGGGGAGGCTGAGGAGTGTGATCCCCCTGTAGTTGGAACACACCCTCCGGTCCCCTTCTTGAAGATGGGGACCACCACCCCGGTCTGCCAGTCCACAGGTACTGCCCCTGATCTCCACGCAACATTGCAGAGACGTGTCAACCAAGACAGCCCTACAACGTCCAGAGCCTTCAGGAACTCGGGCGGACCTCATCGACACCAGGGGCTCTGCCACCAAGGAGTTGTTTAACTGCCTCAGTGACCTCGCCCCCGGAAATCGGTGGGTCACACCCCTCATCCCCAGACTCTGCTTCCTCCCCGGAAGACGTGTCAGTGGGATTAAGGAGGTCCTCGAAGTATTCCTTCCACCGCCCGACAATTTTCTCAGTCGACGTCAACAGCGCTCCGCCAGCACTATACACAGTGCAGGTAGAGCACCGCTTTCCCCTCCTGAGACGCCTGACGGTTTGCCAGAATCTCTTCGAGGCAGTCCGAAAGTCTTTTCCATGGCCTCTCCGAACTCCTCCCACACCCGAGTTTTTGCTTCAGCCACTGCCCGAGCCGCATTCCGCTTGGCCTGTCGATACCTGTCGGCTGCCTCCGGAGTCCCACAGGCTAACCAAGCCCGATAGGCCTCCTTCTTCAGCCTGGTGGCTCCCTTCACCTCTGGTGTCCACCATTTGGTTCGGGGATTACCACCACGGCAGGCACCAACCACCTTGCGGCCGCAGCTCAATGCAGCAGCTTCGGCAATGGAGACGCTGAACATGGTCCATTCGGACTCAATGTCCCCAGTCTCCCTCGGAATGCTGTTGAAGCTCTGCCGGAGGTGTGCGTTGAAGATCTCGCGGACTGGGGCCTCTGCTAGACGTTCCCAGCACACCCTCACTACGCGTTTAGGTGCACCAGGTCTGTCCAGCGTCCTCCCCGCCACCTGATCCAACTCACCACCAGGTGGTGATCAGTTGACAGCTCAGCCCCTCTCTTTACCCGAGTGTCCAGAACATATGGTCGCAGGTCTGGTGATACGATTACAAAATCGATCATCGACCTACGGCCTAGAGCATCCTGGTGCCACGTGCACTTATGGACACTCTTATGTTCGAACAGGGTGTTCGTTATGGCCAAACTGTGATTAGCACAGAAGTCCAATAACAAAGCACCGCTCGGGTTCAGATCAGGGAGGCCGTTCCTCCCAATCACGCCCCTCCAGGTCTCGCTGTCGTTACCCACGTGAGCATTGAAGTCTCCCAGCAGGACAACAGAGTCTCCAGGTGGAGCACCTTCCAGCACCCCCCCCAGGGACTCTAAGAAGGCTGGGTACTCCGAACTGCCACTCGGCGCATAAGCGCAGATGACAGTCAGGACCCGTTCCCCGACCCTAAGGCGCAGGGAACAAACCCTCTCGTCCACCGGGGAAAACCCCAACGTACCAGCAGCAAGCCGAGGGATATAAGAATACCCACCCCAGCCCGCCGCCTCTCACCAGGGGCAACTCCAGACTGAGACAGAGTCCAGCCCCTCTCCAGGAGACTGGTTCCAGAGCCAGACAATGCGTAGAGGTGAGCCCAACTATATCTAGCCGGTACCTCTCAACCTCACGCACCAACTCAGGCTCCTTCCCCACCAGAGAGGTGACATTCCATGTCCTATTGCCAGTCTTGGCAGCCGGGGGTCGGTCCGCCAGGGCCTCCGCTCCTGGCCGCCACCCGGCTCACAATGCACCCGACCCCTATGGCGCCTCCTGCGGGTGGTGGGCCTGCGGGAGGATGGGCCCATGTCTCCTCTTCGGGCTGTGCCCGGCCGGGCCCCATGGACTAAGGCCCGGCCACCAGACGCTCGCCCTCGGGCACCCTCCCCGGGCCTGGCTCCAGGGCGGGGCCCCGGTAACCCTATCCCGGGCAGGGTAAACTGTTCCTCGATATTCTTTTCATGGGGTCTTCTGAATCGCTCTTTGTCTGGTCCCTCACCCAGGACCAGTTTGCCATGGGAGACCCTACCAGGGGGCAAAGCCCCCAGACAACATAGCCCCTGGGATCCCTGGGACACACAAACCCTCCACCACGATAAGGTAGCGATTCAAGGAGTAATTCTCTCTTATACATCACACGAATATAAAGATCAAAATGATAAATATACATTTGGATGCAAACCAGGGATTCTGTATGCCACTAACTAATTAGGCCAACCTTTACTCATTTATTTATTGATTTTGGGCTTGCTAATTGTGGTGGCACCAGTATGTAAATGCTGTGACAAAAATACAAATTCTATAACACCAGTGTCTTTTAAATTCAGGCAAAATACAGCATAATAAATATAACCTGTGCTTGATAAGTTGAAAGTAAAAATCTTTGTTGTAAACCAATATTTGTGTGCCAACAGTTCACTGCAGTCTATGCACCCTTAATTTAGTTGAGTTTTAATTTCTTTTTTACTGTAGGGTCTTTTGGCGTCTCTCCTGTTGAAGTCATAAAGAGAACTGAAAATGATGTTAGCATGAGCTTAGCACATTTTAAAGGTAAATGGAATATGGTTTTAATTGTTTGGAGGCTGTTTCCACTTACAGGGTGATAGGTTCCACTGGGGTCCACACAACCACAGTCTCTCAGTTCCACACATTTGTCATCACTGAGAATGAAGCCAGGGTTACACTCACAACCCTCTACACACACTTCCTCACAGCCAGGTGGTCCCACCACACCAAGACATGTCTCAGGACATGAACTCACACAAAGGGAGTAGGAGCTATTGGGAGGACAGGTCAGAGCTGTGTGGACAAACACAGGGATGAACAATAATGAGAGGGAACAATGGTGGACAAATAGCAACAGAGAAGGGAGTGGGTAGTAGGATGATTCAAAGACAGGGCACCTACGTATCTCATATTGATTTAATTCAGTGTCATAAATGAAAGCAAGGACAATATTAACTGCATTGAATATTTTACATTGGTTTCAGCATTGTGCGCTGTATCTTAAACTCTCCTCCCTATACAATTATAAATATGATTATAAGTTCAATTATAATGTTGGTGAGCAGGATGTAATATATCTTAGTTATATTTACAGGTGGAGACAACTTCCAAATGGAGAAGCTATGGCATGCACCCCATTTAAAAGGGAAAATGCTGAAGGCTCATGTTTCCAACATGAAAAAGTATTATTCAAGGCTTTATTCATTCATGCTTCAATTTGGGGCTTATCAAGCCAATGGGCGATGTCACTGTGACTATGTTTTATATATACTTTATGATATTCAGAAAGAACAGCTGATATTATTATTAAACTATCATATATCATTTAGATATATTTGGTATATCTCAGATTCAAACTTACGGCAGAAGTCTGGAGTTCTCCATTGGTAGACTTTGGCTCCAGCACTATGACATGCGTCAGTGTAGGCCTGGAGCTGGTCACACAGCACGTGCTGCTGGCCGTTGAACTGACACATGTCATACACACAGCTTTGGAAGAATGGAGTGGGATTAACTACACTGATGCACTCCCTGTAACAGAGAAAAGCACTCACTTAGCTTAGGTAGGAAAAGGCAGAGGCTCATATATACTGAAAATCTGAGTTCAAACAAACAAAAAAGCTACAATTGGTGGTGAAACAGTCAACAATTGTTGCATAAGTTTAGCAACAATTCACTAGCTGGGGCCAGTGAATAAAGGTGAATGGCTTAAACATGAATTGAACTGCGGTTTGGGGAAGGCCTCGCTGGGGACTGGCGGTGGCTCCTGGGCTGGCAGATCCCCATGTACTAATGAGAAGTGAAACAGTGAAAGAATTGAAATTGAAAAAGGGGAGGGAGGGTTGGGAATGAATGGAAGAACAAACAGCTAGTAGAACTGGGGATTATATATAGATAAGAACAGGAAGGGAAGTGTTTGGATACTTTATCTCTAATTCACTAGCTGAGCCCACATCCTCATTTTACATTTTACAGTGTTCCTATTAGAAAAAGGTGAATGGCTTAAACATGAGTTGAACTGAGCTTTAGGGAAGGGCGCAGAGGGGACTGGCCCCCTAGAAGCAGCAATAATTGTGCATTGTGAAGGAAATAATTCAATTTTTCTTTTCAATTTATTTATACAGCCCCAAATCACAACAACAATCGCCTCAAGGCGCTTTATATGTAAGGTAGACCCTGCAGTAATACCTACAGAGAAAACCCAACAATCATATGACTCCCTATGAGCAAGCACTTTGGCGACAGTGGGAAGGAACAACTCCTTTTAACGGGAAGAAACCTCTGGCAAAACCATTCCCATGGAAGGACAGCCATCTGCCGCTACAGGTTGAGGTGGAAGAAGGAAAGCAGGACAAAAGAGAAGCGCAGAGAGAAGGTGGTCAAGGATTCCAGAGAGTGGAGTGGTTGAGTTCGGAAAATTACGAAGGAATGGTGGGAGAAGACATCAAAGCAAATTTCAGACAACGAAAGACCTTAATAGTTGAATGAGGAGAACCCCTGATCGAGTGGCAACGTGGCTCGACTGGTGTGGAGGCTGGATGGATGCATGTCTGTATTTTAAGACATCAGGCAATGGCTTGACGGCTCGTAAAAGCTTTTACTGCTGTGTTTGAAAATGATCGATATGGAGACAAAGACTGGCAATATGGTGTCAGGAATGTGCACTGTTACATTTTGTGAAAGATAGATAGATGCATGGACCCTGGCATCCAAGTTATTGGGGAAAGAGGAAAGAGAAACTGGCTTCCAGGTTCCAAAAAGCACGCTGCTGCATTTTGCTCAGGAGAGATAGAGGGAAGAAAAGCTTGCTACTGCAAATGAAGGAAAAGAACCTGGCATCCCGGTGCCAGATGTATGCAGGCGAATTTGAAAAAGACGGACAGAGAAATAGAACCTGGAATACCATTGCAAAAAGCATTCGGCTGGATTTGTAAAGGAGGAAAAGAGAAAGAAAACATGGCATCCCAGTACTAAAAGCCTGCTGCTGCATTTGTAAAGGAGGAACAGAAAAAGAAACCCAGAATCCCGGGGCCAAAAGCTTGCTGGTACATATGCAAACGAGGGACAGAGAAAGAGAACCTGACATTCCAGTGCCAAAACACATGCTGCTGCATTTTTGTGAAAAGGGGAGTGAGGGAAGAGGAACTGGCAACCCGGTGCTAAAAGCTTGCTCCTGCATTTAAGAAGGAGGGGTAGATAAAGAAAGCCTGACATCCTAGTGCCAAGAAGCATGCTGCTGCATTTTGCGAGGGAGGGACAGAGGGGAAGGGAAACTGGAATCTCCTGGGTAGAAAACCTTGTTGATGCATTTGCAAATGAGGAATAATAACTTGGCATCCTGGTGCCAAAAGCTCACTGTGGCATTTGCAAAGGAGGGTTATAGAAAGAACCTGGTATCCCAGGTGTTTTGCAACGATAGATAGAGATAAACTGGCAAGTCATTGGTAAAAACTTGCTGCTGCGTTTGAGAATGAGGGACAAAGAACGAAACTGGCATCCCAGTGCCAGACGGGTTCATTACAGCATTACAGTAATAGTATTGAAAATATTTATTCATATTTTACAGGTCAGTTGGGTGATTACCAGGCATGCTGCCATCTAGTTCATGATTTTATAAGGTCAGGAAAAAACGTTGTAAAAACCCAGGAATCCCATCAGTTTAACCAAGTCGATAACCAAAAGTGGAGGGGTTGTGAATTCTTACCGGAAGGGTCCAGTAGGGTCTGTAATTTTACCACATTTCTCTGGTTTTACAACTTCAGCTTCCAAGTTGGGGTCACAGTCTGGATCAGGCTTTGTTCCTGGGGTACATCTGGTCAATACAAATACAAAACACAGTTACATCCTCTTCAGTTTGTCAGAAAGAGTCCGACAGTAAGGTAACGAAAGACATAACCAGAAGAAATCCAAAAGACAGAAAGATAGATATGTTGGAACTCACGAGTCATCTTCATCGTCTTTGGTCTGCCAGCTGTTCCCAAAGTCATTACTATTTCCTGCCACAGTGCCATCAGGTTTAGTGAAGTCATTGTCTGGGTTCCCATCATAGTCACCACAAAGGCCACACATTTGGTCATAGTAGGAGCTGGTAGGACAAAGTCAAGGCAGGATATGTAGGATTAAAATAAGACAAGCTTAAGAATATTTGCAATGTTTCATAAGGTGTTGCTTGGCCTTTTATTGTAATTCTAGAAACAAATGAAGAGAATGCAAAGATCCCTGATACAATAAACCAGGGCATCGTTAGTATATATTAAAAGTTGCATAAGTCCACAATATGCACACAAATGGACTGCTTTGTTTTCACAACATACATAAAACAACTGGTGATGTTCAGCAGTTTAGATCGTTATCTATCAGAGTTTCTTCAGATCGTTAGGCTATGGTTGCATCAGAGGAAAGTGGTCATCAAAAAAAGAATGATAGAGCAATGGAGACAGTGGTCAGGTGTATTGTATGAATGTGTGAAGCAAATAAAAAGAAGTTCTACAATATCAAAATAGTTCAAACCAATATTTATACTAACCTGGGAACTGAGATCTGGGCATAATGGTTTCCATCCCAACGCACCCTCAAGCCAAAGGATGTTTGAAGCGTGATGAACTGACCAGCAAGACTAATAGACATGAGAGGAGAGGGGGAGTGGGGCAGAGCCACCCGTACTCCGTTCACCTGATTCAGTGATGAAGAAAAAGATGTTAAGAATATAAGAATATAAAGATGTTAAACAGACTGTGTAAACGTCTAATTGGTGGACAGGTCAGGGAGTATAAAAGTACAAAGAGTGTGCAATGTGCAGTATATCAGGCAAAAACAGACTTTGTATAGTTTTAACAAGCAAGAAAGACATTGCTTTATGCCTATCACACTGTGTTATCTTTGGCATAGATTCAACTGACAAAATGGGAAAAATCTGTTTTGTTTTTTTTACATGTTGTTAGCAACAATGTAACTAAAGATATAATTTGAGTTCTTTGCTAAAATGTCAGTTATGTGTAGACATAAGACATCCATGGTGATGATACAACTTCTGTGTGGGATGTCTGCTGGCACACATTTTACTTAAAGATGGGAAATACAAGAGATAGTAATTCATTCATATACTGACCAGTGTTCTACTGCTCTTCATCAGGGTCACAGTAATTCCATCCACTGTCACATATAGCTTCCTCAGGTATGACACTCCTGCAACTCCTCTCTCTTCATTCTTTGCCTCCACAGAGAACCAAGGGCCTGCACAGGGAAGACCACGACAATCAGGAATATTGTGTGTTTATATTAAAGGTGAATATTGGCATTAACATACAAACCACCACTGACATTCAGTGTCTTCTCTTTGCAGCAAACGTGAATGAAAACAACATCTGTCATGCTTTGCGATGAAAATAATAAATGAGTAAATTTAGCTAATTTAAACTTTCATTTGTGCGTGTGGTGTGGCAAGACTAGAACAGGTGCAATGAAACCCAAACATCTTAATGAATAAATGTCTCAAAATAGTGTGTACCTGTGCTGTTCCTACAGCTTCTGGCCAGTGTGTAAGTACAGGTTCCCATGAAGCTGTAGTACTTCTTGTCAAAGGTGTTGTAGTGTGGATCCCCAGAAACTACACAATCCTGAAAGCCTGAGAGAGGGGAAAAACATCAGGAACATCAGACTGAAACACAGATGAAGCCACTGTAGAACAATTACCTAATAACAGTGCAGTTCACTGTTGCTTTGGAATTATACTGGCATTAAAATAGATGCAAGGAATATATCATTTCCTGACTAGACAAAAATTTTCTGCAACTCTGTGATTTTGCATTATAAAGAAATGCATGTAACAAGTGTTGTTATAGACAAACTGTACAGAAGAGAGCAAAAGAAACATAACAGCAACACACACATAAATATTTCACTGTTATTGAAAGTAAAAGACGCCTGTGGGTTGTGCTTCTCTATCTTCCATTACTCAATCTAATTATGTATATTAGAGCAGGGATAGAAAATGCTCGTTTGAGAACTTTGACAAAGTCTACAGCATCACATCAAACGCAGTTGCAAAACTTTTCAGGTTGGCAGTCCAACCCATGAGATCTGGAAACCTACTTAGAATATAATGGCTACAGCTTTGCTGTGTTTTTTTTAGGTGTGAACATTACAAACATACGCGTAGGATAGCAGCCCAGCTCTCCATCCTGAAGTTTACATTCATGCATTGGGGGGCATTCAGAGGCTTCACAGGTAATTCCAGCTGCACCACACCAACATTTTCGCTTGCAGTCTTCCTCAAAAAACTCCTCTCCAGGCTGACAAACAGACAACAAAATTGACAATTAAGCATAGCAGGCACAGATGATTCTTTGTAGATCCTTTTATGCATGTATGTATGAAAATGTTGTTTTAGAGAGGACATAAAGAGACTGCAAGTGACCTGACTTGAAATACAAAGGACCAAATGATTCACTGCCGGCCTATCAGACCCACTTCACCATACCTCATAATACTGGCCGTTCGTGTGGTTGCAGCCACACATGTTCTCCTTAACGCACTTGCCAGCACTCAGGACATAGCTGGGATCACACACACAGGACTCAGAGCAGGGACCAGAGCAGGAGGGGGGTTTTCCAAAGCATGTTTCCTGACAAGGATCTGCACAAGGTTCGTAGTGGCTGTTTGGGGGACAGCTCAGTGCTAAGCAGACCACAAGAGGTTGAAGTTAGTGATAGGAAACAAAAGTATGTGCTGGTTAAAATATAAAATGACAGCTTTTCACAAGAAAAGAGATACGTCTTTGGCACTTCCAGCTGTGTTGTCTTCCGTGGAACTAGATTGTTTGAGTTTGGTGGTAACCCAGTCTCCTGCAGCCTCTTGGCATATGTTGTCTGCCCAACTAGGTATGCTAAAGCAGCACTCCCTCGGTTAACTTTAGTGAGTAGGAAGCCCGTATGAAGTACTCTTCCACAAGTCAAAACTGACCAAAAACTCTCTTGTGTTATTTCTCCCAACTACTCAGCCAAGCTGATTTTTACCTAATGATATACCTAAAGATATTTTACTACTAAATTAAATCATTTGTCCTTCCAATACTCACGGCAGAAGGTTTCATTCCTCCATGGTCCAAGGTTGACCCCACGATCTTGGCATTCATTGACATAGGCTTCAATGGCTTCACACAAAATGGGCTTGGCACCATCCAGCTCACACAAGTCAAAGACACAGTCCCTGAAGTAATTCTGAGAACAAACAATCACTTTGTTACAATGCTTTATATTGTGTGACCATCTAAAACCACATATTCAAATTATTCCACTATTACGAATATCACATTTTCACCCTGAACGCACACACACATAGACAAATACAACAAGCTCAGAATAAGGACTGGTTCCACATTTGTTTATTATATGTGCACTATCCTCTACATGAACATACATTGGGGTTGACTTTGGGATGGCACACAGCAAAAGGTCCATTTTTGTCCAGCAGAATGCCACAATATCCAGAGCTTTCATACAGTTCCTGTTCTTCTTCATTGCACCCAGGGATCGTAGTGTTGGGTTTCTCATTACATCTGTCAAGACAGACCATCATCTTAAGAACATTTGTCTTTTGTCAATGGTAAATGTTTCTTTACACTTGCATCTCTGCAATACTCACTCTGGATTCATGTTCCAACTGTGTCCAAAGTCATTGGCATTTTCAGCTAAGCTTCCATCTGGTTTGCGGAAGTCATCTTTAGTATCTCCATCATAGTTGCCACACAGGCCACACAGCTTGTTCTGATAGCTGCAGATTGCAGAAAATGATTGTGTTAGAGTCTTATGCAAGAAAGACTAACAAGTAAGCCAGAACTACAACGTGTTTTAATTGCAGCCAAGTTTCTTTTCAGCAGTAGACTAAACCCCACACATTAGTAAGACTAAAAGATCAGACATGTACATTTGATGTGTTTGATAGCATCAGCATAGAATTAACTAGTCAGGAAATTAGAAGTTTTGTGTGATTTTATCTTGAAATTTTGAGGGAGCTGTTTGTGTTGCCCCTGCTAAATTGTTTAAATAAAATATCCTAGCTGTGTCATTAATCTCTGCCTTTATCACCTTACTACTCCTTACAGATAAAGGAGTCATGTTCAGTATATGAAAATGTGTTATAGTGTCATGGTCCGTGGTCCTGTGTCTGAGGAATGCGTGACGCTCGGGTAGCCACACCCCCGGGCTATCACCGGCACATCTGTTCTCCATCACGGTGACTACACGGAGATCTACTGAACCCGGCACTGATGGAAGGCTCCACGCCAGTCCGTTAGTCCCCCCACAGTGGTAACTAGACTTCCACGAAAGCGTGCATTCCCTTCTGGTTGGAACTGTGTTTAATCTGCCTACTTGTGTCCAGGTTTCGACTCGGCGTCTGCCACCTGCCTGTCCTCCGGCTCAACTGGATCACTCGGTGCATCATCTGGCCCATTCGCTATTTCCACGGACTTTCTGCTCACGGACTGCCACACTTCCCTCCCGAGCTCCCACAGTCCCGTTCCATCGTAAGCCCCCTACTCTAACTAAGTCCTGATGTGTTTTCCCTACTTTCCGGCTCCCTAGTAATCATCTCCCCTTTCTATTGCAGCCTCCCATGGTCCCGATCCTGGCTTCCTCGTGTCATTATTCCCCGGGTTTTTAGTTTCTTGTTTTGCTCTCTAGTTTTCCCGGGTCGCCTTTCGTTATTTCAATAAAGTGTCTTTTCTGTTAGCGCGGAGTCTGCATCTGGATCCTTTTGTGCATGCGCGCCGCGGCGCATGACATATAGTTTTAGTTGTATCAGTATGGATGTAGATTTCTGGACTGGTGAACTTGTGATTAAAACACCACTTTATAAGGAAACCATGAATTTGGTCTTCACTCACTCTTCGATTACTTTGATGTCCATGAAGGCGTTTCCATCATAGCGAACCGTCACACCAAAGTTCATGGAGACAGTGTAGTGTTTTCCTGACTTGAACACAGAAATACCAGGGGACGGAGACAGTGGAAGATTGACATTGGTCCCATTAACCTGTATGGGAAAATAGGCAGAGTACATCAAATCTGGCCAACATTTTCATTTTTTAATTACCCATGTCACAACATTACTATCTGTAACTGAAAAGAAACGTTCCTTTAGTGGGCGATCGTGGCTCAAGAGTTGGGAGTTCGCCTTGTAATCGGAAGGTTGCCGGTTCGAGCCCCGGCTTGGACAGTCTCGGTCGTTGTGTCCTTGGGCAAGACACTTCACCCGTTGCCTACTGGTGGTGGTCAGAGGGCCCGGTGGCGCCAGTGTCTGGCAGCCTCGCCTCTGTCAGTGCGCCCCAGGGTGGCTGTGGCTACAATGTAGCTTGCCATCACCAGTGTGTGAATGTGTGTGTGAATGGGTGGATGACTGGATATGTAAAGCACTTTGGGGTCCTTAGGGACTAGTAAAGCGCTATATAAATACAGGCCATTTACCATTTCTCATGCCAATGATGTCTGTAAATGTCATGCCCGACATGTTAAACGCAGCTGCCGGCATGGCAAGCGAAAGTGGATCGAAGCCAAAGGCATGAATGCACAAGAAAACAGTCGACCAGAACGATACCCGAATATTAAATCGCATTGTACGATCTAACAGGGGCTCGCAGTGGCCGCTCTGTCCCAATCCGAGACAAAATGGACGAGTCCTCCTCACTGACGCTGAGCAAGACCAACGTTGAGCCAAACAGTTCTGCGATACTTTAAACCAGCCCGAGCCACTCCACTTGTTCGAGGCCGAAGAACTTGCACCCTCCATGGATCTTCTTCCTTTCGATATCGGAAAAATTAGCAACGCCGAAGTCAAGACAGCGATGTTGGCCTGGACGAGTTCCTCCCCACAATGCTGAAGGACGACAAAGCCCAGTTGGATGCCGCCCTTAGAAGTCCCCTAAATGCCTGCTGGTCAACATCGCATGTACCCTATGAATGGGTAATTTCAACGACTTCAAGAAAGCTTTTGACAACGTCCACCGGCCGACTCTATGGGCTATCCCACGTCAATATGGAGTCCCCCAGCAGTTTGTATACGCCTTTTGTGGTCTCTGCTCCAACTCCCGGTTCTGCGTCCAGACAGATGATTGGATGGCGCCCTTAGAAGACCCCTAAACGCCTGCTGGACAACATCGCGTGTACCCTATGAATGGGCAAAAGGTGTTATCACCAAACTTCCCGAAAGGCGATTTGGGTGACTGTAACAACTGCCGGGGCATCACGCTCCTGTCGGTACCCGGGAAAGTGCTTTGCCTTATTCCTTTGAATTGGCTACTGGGCCCCTACTGGGCTCGACTACGGAAGACCTCCAAGAATGGACTGCAGCTTTGCAGAGGGAGGTGAGGAAGTCGGATTACGAATAAGCGCCAAGAAAACCAAGGTACTCGGAGTTGGCTACACAACTGCCCATGTTCCCGTCATAATCAACCAATAACGTGCTGATAAGTTGGAAAATTTCACATATCTGGGCAGCATCATCTCGAATTATGGGATCTCTGATCAAGATGTAAACTCCAAAGTAGGGAAGGCTGCCGGTGTCCTCCGACGTCTCCAATTCAATTCATTTAAATTCAATGTTTTTTATATAGTCCCAAATCACAAAAACAGTCACCTCAAGGTGCTTTATATTTTAAGATAGACCCTACAATAATACATACAGAGAAAAAAAACAACAATCATATGCCCCATTGACCAAGCACTTTGGTCACAGAGGCGTCTTTTAACAGGAAGAAGCCTTTGGCAGAACCAGCGAAAGCAAGGCCGACCAAATATCACATGGCGTCGAATGTTTATGGATGATCTGAAAACAGTCTACATCGCCTGGGACGAAGCTGAAACATTCGCCCCTGACCGTCATCGATGGAGATTGTTAGCTGCCCGATGCGTCGCTCGGCGTAGGAGGAACTAAGTGTTAAGTGTAAGTGCAAGTTTCTTTCCATGGTCAATTGCAGTGGTTTTCAGAAGTGTTCCTGAGCATGTGCAGTGGTTTGTACCACAGAATGATGTTTGTTTGTAATGCAGTAGTGCCTGATAACGTGAAAGCGTGATTGGTTTTCACATGCAAAACATCCTGTTTCTTCCTCTCATGTCTTACCTGCACAGTGCCACCTTTGAGAATGGAGATCTTTATCATCTGTGCGTATACATGTACGGCATTCACATAGGAGATGGTCGGCCTGTTATACCGATTTTCATTGTCAGTATGGACCTCAAAGTAGGGCACAGTTGTGTCATTGCATGGACTAGACATCAGATAGCTGCAGTTGCCCATGAAGTCATATTTGCGTTTGTCAAAGCTGGTGTAGTGTGGATCGCCAGATGCAATGCATGTGGATGTACCTAAAGGAATAATATATGAGAAAAAGAAATTGTAATTTCCACACTGTCAACTATCAAGTTATACCGACTGACTGTAAAGCACAACACAAGGTGCTCTTTGTGCAGATGTAATTTATTACACTGCATTAAATCAAGTCAACAACAATAAAGTCAACAAACATTATTACCTTTAGGATAACAGCCTGCAACACCATTAACCTCTCGACACTCTTCAGTGGGGTCACAGGAGTTATCAACACATTCCAAAGTGTAGTTCCCTACACAGCGACACAGCTTTGTGCAGCCATCTCCAAATACTATCTCACCAGGCTGGATAAAATGAAAACAATCAGTACTGAGAAAGTATACTGTATGTCTTTAAATGTACACTGTACACAGTACTAACTAGGACATCTGACCTCATAATAGTTATTGTTGTCATCTAAACAACCACACTTGTCCAGTGGCACGCAGTGCCGTCCTTTGAAGACAAAGCCTGGTTTGCAGAAACACCCAGTGATGCAGGAGCCAGAACAGTTGGTAGAGGGTTCCATACATGTAGGAATGCAAGCTGGACCGCACTCTATATACTCTGCGTTAGGAGGACACAGGTCTGGGTAGAAAGAAAAAGGATTACTGGAAAATGAGCAGATACTCTTTCAGGAACTAAAAAGGTAGGAAGTTATTATGCAGTGTTAACAAACTCAGTCCAAACTAACAACATCAGTTGAGACAGTGGAGGTTTGGAGCGCCTGTTGCTAAAATGACTGCATTTATTTACTGCATTTCTAGGGCCAGTCGGATAAAGCACTTGACACTGTAATCCACATCCATGCATTCATGCAGCTATTTCTATGTGAAGCTGTGTGATTAACATACCCAGAGGGTGGCATTCATATTCTCCATCTTGTAGTTGGCAGCTCTCAGTAGTTGGGTTACAGCTGGTGTTATGACACTGTAGCAGACCTCCACTGTGACACATACACTTTTGTTCACAACCCTCCAAGTACCAGTCATCGCCCACCTGACAAATGTACACAGAATGCAAAAAACAATCAAAATTTTGTCATGTAATTCTCTCTTATATGTCTGTGAAGGTTCTCAGTCATCCAGGTCATCGTAGTCAAAGGAGCTTGCAAAGAAAGCGTCTGGACTTCTTAAGTCTTTAAGTCTTCAAGCAACTTAAAGAAGTCCAGACGCCTTTCTTTGCAGACTCCTTTTACATTCTCTCTTATACATCACACGAATATAAAGATCAAAATGATAAATATACATTTGGATGCAAACCAGGGATTCTGTATGCCACTAACTAATTAGGCCAACCTTTACTCATTTATTTATTGATTTTGGGCTTGCTAATTGTGGTGGCACCAGTATGTAAATGCTATGACATAAATACAAATTCTATAACACCAGTGTCTTTTAAATTCAGGTATAATACAGTATAATAAATATAATCTGTGCTTGATAAGTTGAAAGTAAAAATCTGTGTTGTAAAACCAATATTTATGTGCCAACAGTTCTCTGCAGTCTATGCACCCTTAATTTAGTTGAGTTTTAATTTCTTTTGTACTGTAGGGTCTTTGTGTCTCTTGGCGTCTCTCCTGTTGAAGTTATAAAGAGAACTGAAAATGATGTTAGCATGAGCTTAGCACATTTTAAAGGTAAATGGAATATGGTTTTAATTGTTTGGAGGCTGTTTCCACTTACAGGGTGATAGGTTCCACTGGGGTCCACACAACCACAGTCTCTCAGTTCCACACATTTGTCATCACTGAGAATGAAGCCAGGGTTACACTCACAACCCTCCACACACACTTCCTCACAGCCAGGTGGTCCCACCACACCAAGACATGTCTCAGGACATGAACTCACACAAAGGGAGTAGGAGCTATTGGGAGGACAGGTCAGAGCTGTGTGGACAAACACAGGGATGAACAATAATGAGAGGGAACAATGGTGGACAAATAGCAACAGAGAAGGGAGTGGGTAGTACGATGATTCAAAGACAGGGCACCTACGTATCTCATATTGATTTAACTCAGTGTCATAAATGAAAGCAAGGATAATATTAACTGCATTGAATATTTTACATTGGTTTCAGCATTGTGCACTGTATCTTAAACTCTCCTCCCTATACAATTATAAATATGATTATAAGTTCAATTATAATGTTGGTGAGCAGGATGTAATATATCGTGGTTATATTTACAGGTGGAGACAACTTCCAAATGGAGAAGCTATGGCATGCACCCATTTAAAAGGGAAAATGCTGAAGGCTCATTTTTCCAAAATGAAAAGGTATTATTCAAGTCTTTATTCATTTATGCTTCAGAATGGGGCTTATCAAGCCAATGGGTGATGTCACTGTGACTATGTTTTATATATCATATATCTTTTAGATATATTTGGTATATCTCAGATTCAAACTTACGGCAGAAGTCTGGAGTTCTCCATTGGTAGACTTTGGCTCCAGCACTATGACATGCGTCAGTGTAGGCCTGGAGCTGGTCACACAGCACGTGCTGCTGGCCATTGAACTGACACATGTCATACACACAGCTTTGGAAGAATGGAGTGGGATTAACTACACTGATGCACTCCCTGTAACAGAGAAAGCACTCACTTAGCTTAGGTAGGAAAAGGCAGAGGCTCATATATACTGAAAATCTGAGTTCGAACAAACAAACAAGCTACAATTGGTGGTGAAACAGTCAACAATTGTTGCATAAGTTTAGCAACAATTCACTAGATGGGGCCATTGAATAAAGGTGAATGGCTTAAACATGAATTGAACTGCGGTTTGGGGAAGGTCTCGCTGTGGACTGGCAGCGGCTCCTGGGCTGGCAGATCCCCAAAGAAGACATCCCCTAGAAGCAGCAATAACTGTGCATTGTGAAGGTGAAAGACCTCTGCAGGAATAATTCAATTTTTCAATTCAATTTATTTATACAGCCCCAAATCACAACAACAATCGCCTCAAGGTGCTTTATATGTAAGGTAGACCCTGCAATAATACCTACAGAGAAAACCCAACAATCATATGACTCCCTATGAGCAAGCACTTTGGGAATTGGGAAAGAACAACTCCTTTTAACGGGAAGGAACTTCTGGCAAAACCATTCCCATGGAAGGACAGCCATCTGCCGCTACCGGCTGAAGTGGAAGAAGGAAAGCAGGACAAAAGAGAAGCGCAGAGAGAAGATGGTCAAGGATTCCAGAGAGTGGAGTGGTTGAGTTCGGAAAATTACGAAGGAATGGTGGGAGAAGACCACAAAGCAAATTTCAGAAAACGAAAGACCTTAATAGCTTAATGAGGAGAACCCCTGATCGAGTGGCAACGTGGCTCGACTGCTGTGGAGGCTGGATGGATGCATGTCTGTATTTTAAGACATGAGGCAATGGCTTGACGGCTCGTAAAAGCTATTCTGGTGTGTTTGAAAATGATCGATATGGAGACAAAGACTGGCAATACGGTGTCAGGAATGTGCACTGTTACATTTTGTGAAAGATAGATAAATGCATGGACCCTGGCATCCAAGTTATTGGGGAAAGTGGGAAGAGATACTGGCTTCCAGGTGCCAAAAAGCACGCTGCTGCATTTTGCTCAGGAGAGATAGAGGGAAGAAAAGCTTGCTACTGCAAATGAAGGAAAAGAACTGGCATCCCGGTGCCAGATGTATGCTGGCAAATTTGAAAAAGACAGAGAAATAGAACCTGGAATACCATTGCAAAAAGCATTCTGCTGGATTTGTAAAGGAGGAAAAGAGAAAGAGAACCTGGCATTCCTGTGCCAAAAAACATGCTGCTGCATTTTTGTGAAAAAGGGAGGGACAGAAGAGGAACTGGCAACCCGGTGCTAAAAGCTTGCTCCTGCATTTGTGAAGGAGGGATAGAGAAAGAAAGCCTGACATCCTAGTGCCAAGAAGCATACTGCTGCATTGTGCGAGGGAGGGATAGAGGGGAAGGGAAACTGGAATCTCCTGGGTAGAAAACCTTGTTGATGCATTTGCAAATGAGGAATAATAACTTGGCATCCTGGTGCCAAAAGCTCACTGTTGTATTTGCAAAGGAGGGTTATAGAAAGAACCTGGTATCCCAGGTTTTTTGCAACGATAGATAGAGATAAACTGGCAAGTCATTGGTAAAAACTTGCTGCTGCGTTTGAGAATGAGGGACAAAGAACAAAACTGGCATCCCAGTGCCAGAAGGGTTCATTACAGCATTACAGTAATAGTATTGAAAATATTTATTCATATTTTACAGGTCAGTTGGGTGATTACCAGGCATGCTGCCATCTATTTCATGATTTTATAAGGTCAGGAAAAAACGTTGTTAAAAACCAGGAATCCCATCAGTTTAACCAAGTCGATAACCAAAAGTGGAGGGGTTGTGAATTCTTACCGGAAGGGTCCAGTAGGGTCTGTAATTTTACCACATTTCTCTGGTTTTACAACTTCAGCTTCCAAGTTGGGGTCACAGTCTGGATCAGGCTTTGTTCCTGGGGTACATCTGGTCAACAAATACAAAACACAGTTACATCCTCTTCAGTTTGTCAGAAAGAGTCCAACAGTAAGGTAACAAAAGACATAACCAGAAGAAATCCAAAAGACAGAAAGATAGATATGTTGGAACTCACGAGTCATCTTCATCGTCTTTGGTCTGCCAGCTGTTCCCAAAGTCATTACTATTTCCTGCCACAGTGCCATCTGGTTTAGTGAAGTCATTGTCTGGGTTCCCATCATAGTCACCACAAAGGCCACACATTTGGTCATAGTAGGAGCTGGTAGGACAAAGTCAAGGCAGGATATGTAGGATTAAAATAAGACAAGCTTAAGAATATTTGCAATGTTTAATAAGGTGTTGCTTGGCCTTTTATTGTAATTCTAGAAACAAATGAAGAGAATGCAAAGATCCCTGATACAATAAACCAGGGCATCGTTAGTATATATTAAAAGTTGCATAAGTCCACAATATGCACACAAATGGACTGCTTTGTTTTCACAACATACATAAAACAACTGGTGATGTTCAGCAGTTTAGATCGTTATCTATCAGAGTTTCTTCAGATCGTTAGGTTATGGTTGCATCGGAGGAAAGTGGTCATCAAAAAAATAATGAGAGCAATGGAGACAGTGGTCAGGTGTATTGTATGAATGTGTGAAGCAAATAAAAAGAAGTTCTACAATATCAAAATAGTTCAAACCAATATTTATACTAACCTGGGAACTGAGATCTGGGCATAATGGTTTCCATCCCAACGCACCCTCAGCCAAAGGATGTTTGAAGCGTGATGAACTGACCAGCAAGACTAATAGACATGAGAGGAGAGGGAGTGGGGCAGAGCCACCCGTACTCCGTTCACCTGATTCAGTGATGAAGAAAAAGATGTTAGAATATAAGAATATAAAGATGTTAAACAGACTGTGTAAACGTCTAATTGGTGGACAGGTCAGGGAGTATAAAAGTACAAAGAGTGTGCAATGTGCAGTATATCAGGCAAAAACAGACTTTGTATAGTTTTAACAAGCAAGAAAGACATTGCTTTATGCCTATCACACTGTGTTATCTTTGGCATAGATTCAACTGACAAAATGGGAAAAATCTGTTTTGTTTTTTTACATGCTGTTAGCAACAAAGTAACTAAAGATATAATTTGAGTTCTTTGCTAAAATGTCAGTTATGTGTAGACATAAGACATACATGGTGATGATACAACTACTGTGTGGGATGTCTGCTGGCACACATTTTACTTAAAGATGGGAAATATAAGAGATAGTAATTCATTCATATACTGACCAGTGTTCTACTGCTCTTCATCAGGGTCACAGTAATTCCATCCACTGTCACATATAGCTTCCTCAGGTATGACACTCCTGCAACTCTCTCTTCATTCTTTGCCTCCACAGAGAACCAAGGGCCTGCACAGGGAAGACCACGACAATCAGGAATATTGTGTGTTTATATTAAAGGTGAACATTGGCATTAACATACAAACCACCACTGACATTCAGTGTCTTCTCTTTGCAGCAAACGTGAATGAAAACAATATATGTCATGCTTTGCGATGAAAATA